ACCTCTGAAGATGCTTGCCATAAATGCAGGCAAAATGTCAGGAGAGAATGCCTCTAGAACATGGCCATATAGCCCAAAAAAACCCTACAACAACCCAAGGTTGCATTATGTCTGCCTGTGTAAAGTAAATATATAGCAGCTGTATTTGAGACAACAGCATGTCTTGGGCTTGTCAAGGAGAGATTTAAACTGGGTTCTGCTTAGAGATGAGTTAAATCATCAAATAAATCTAACAGAAATAGACGTGTAACTTGCATCATGTCCTCCCCATCCCAGTGATTGGAGCTGGGTCTGAAATGGACTTTTCTTTGAAATAGCAGTAAATGTACAATGTAACATTTGTTGTTAAATATTTCAAGCATTTGAGAGGGATCTCAACCCATGAGATCTCTCAAATGCTTGGTCTAAGCATTTCAGAGAGATCATGGGTTTGACAGCAAAACAAAGGCTGACTTTGTTTTATAGATCGCTTTCCTATACTATAGACATATTATAACTACTCTAAAGGAGATTAACAGATAGAAAATACTTGTCATATATATGCACTGTCTCCACTGGCTTTAGAATATACAGCAGAGGAAAAAATGAGGGATGCACAGTACTAGTGTTTAAGTATATGCCAAAAGACTAAGTGCTTATTATAAAGAGAAGCTTGTTTGATCTGCCAGCATGATATAATGCCAGCACATGGAGTTGTGCATGGCAGACTGCTTGTATTGGCTCTTCTGTCAGCTTTCATTTTTGCACAGCTCAGAGACCATGAATAAACAGACCCCACTGACAGGATGTCCTTGTTTAAACAGTTTCAGATGGGAGATTTGTTTGCCCTAGACTCTAGGGCCTAGAGCATAAAGAAGTTTTGCATATTGAGCATTTGCAGTTATTCTGTTGTGCAGAGAGGTTTCCACTAATTACATTAATTTTCCCTACATTCATATTTTTACTCTGCATTTTACCTGTGTGAATAATTTGATATTGAAACGTGCGTTCCTTCTGAACAGGCAGTGGTGCCTAGAGTCATTCCACAATTCAAGCAAAGGTTTTCTTCTCGTCCAGGAATTGATAGTGTGAGTTCCACCCAGTACTGAAATACTGAAATTCCCTTCATTCCTCATCATGGGCTAGGCTTGCTATAATAAACAAACTGCAATTGGACTGAAATTGGCACCAAGTGTGATGAATAATGTTAAATGTGGTTTTTGTAGGATTCTATACTGCTCTTTGGAAAATACCTGAAATGTACATGTCTCCAAAGTGTTTTGCAATTTCTAGTAATGTGGTATGTCTTCTGTTCATAATGGCATGTATTCATGTATCTTCAAATCATCTGTCAACTTATGGTGACCCAATTAATTTCTTAGTATTTTCTTAGGCAAAAAAGATTAAGAGATGGTTTTGCCATATCCTCTCTCTTAAATTAGCCTTATGGCACCAGGTATTTATTAGCAATCTCCTGTCCAAGCACTGAACAAATTCTTAACTTGTTAAGATCAGATGGTATCTTGTGCCTTTAGGGCAGAGCTGTCCAAACTTTTCATGTTGGTGACGCTTTTTAGACATGCATCCTTTTGTGACACAATAGTTCAGTTTTACTAGCAAACCTGCAGTTAAACTAACCCCTTGCAATATTTTCAATTTATTTGTTATCTATCATATAATAATAATAATAATAATAATAATAATAATAATAATAATAATAATAATAATTGCCTAAAGACCTTGTCCTGCACCTAAACACAATCGGCGCTGACAAAATTACCATCTGCTAGCTGCAAAAGGCCACCTTACTGGGATCTGCACACATTATTTGCCGAAACATCACACAGTCCTAGACACTTGGAAAGTGTTGACGTGTGATCCAATACAACAACCAGCTGAGTATCTGCTGTGGACTCATCTTGTTGTGTTTCAAATAATAAAAAAATATTTATTGTGTAAATGAGGTTTGGAAATTTTTCCTTTACACTTCTTATGTACTGTGTTGATTCTCATGCAGTTTCCTCTATAGCTATAGCTGTAGTACTGCAAGTGTGCATTAGTATTTGCTTTTTGAACAAATGAAGCAGACTGGATGCCGGAATGCAAACCTCATCTGGGATATCTCTCTGAGCTCCCATTCCAGGTTGTTGGATTTGTACTGAAAGAGGAATGCAATGTGTGTCCTTTTAAACAATTACTTCCTGTAAGTTCTGCTGTGCTGTTGTATTTTCTCATTGTACGTTCAGGACAAGAACCATAGCTTAGTCATTCTGGCTTCTAGTGAGAGCTTGGGTTTTATTTTCTCTATGACCCCATTATTTTTATTTTTCAGTCATCCATGATGCTTGTAAAAAAACTTATCTAGCACCATATTTCAGATGAGTCTTATTTTGCAATTTTCACATTTGTCCAAAGAAAGCATAAATACCAAAGTATGGTATAGGTTATTCAAATGTTGGTGTTCAGTGATATATTTTTATATATTTATTTTCATCATAGCTGCTGGCCAACACTGTGTTGCCTTACTTCCTTCTTTGCTACAGCTGATTAAAACAACTGCCAACCTACAATCAAAGAGCACTCTGAACCCCACTAATCAAGGCCATAGACCACACTCAGCACATAGAACCCCCATGACCAACAGAAAATATTGGAGGGGTTTGGGGGGAATTGACAATGATTTAGGGGAGTTGTAGTTCACCTACATCCAGAGAGCATTGTGAACCCAAACAATGATGAATCTGGCTCAAACTTGGCCCAAATACCTGATATGCCCAAATTTGAATACTGGTGGGGGTTGGGGTGAAATGGATTTTGACATTTGAGAGTTGTAGTTGCTGGGATTTATAGTTCACCTACAATCAAAGAGCAAGCTGAACCCCACCAACAATGGATCTGGATCACACTTGGCACACAGAACCCTCATGACCAACAGAAAATATATAAGGGTATTGGGGGATTGACCTTGATTTCTAGGAGTTGTAGTTCTCCTATTTCCAGAGAAACCGTGTTTACAACAACCCCCACTGACAATGGACTGGGAGCAACCTTGGCACACAGAACAACCATGACTAACTGAACATAACTGGAGCGGGTTGGGGTGGACTGACTTAACCCCCCTGGGCTTAAGGTCCTGCTGTTAAATACTAGGTCCATGAATGACAAAACAGCAGCTCAGGACTTCATGACCTCCACAACTATGGGGCTGTCCCAAGTGATATCTGGGCCCACTCATGTAGCTGGACACACCTTGGACCTGGTTTTCAAGGTGGATGGGAGAAATGTTAGTGTGGAAGAACTCAAAATTGTTCCATTGTCGTGGACCGACCATCACACTGTCCTCTTTTTGTAGGGATGTGAAGAAGTGGCTCTTCAATCAAGCCTTTGAGAATATTTAGTCCCTTGTTGTCCTGTATAGTATACACACATCCTGCACTTTATCCCATATCTTCTTTCAATTACTGCAGCTGGCACATATTTTGTTGTTAATATTTACAGCTTGGCCATGTTTACATCAATGTACCGCCATGGTGAGAGGACCGCAGTTTGAGTCTGAGTTGATGTTTTTATATATGCATGTGTTTTTTTGTATTTTATACTGTGCTCATACTTATGTTTTGTTTTTAGACACTTCGTGCCGTCTGTAAGCAGCCCAGAGTCCCTTTTGGGAGATGGTGGCGGGATAAAAGAATAAAGTTGCTGTTGTTGTTGTTATTATTATTATTATTATTATCATTATCATTTGGGAGTTGTGGTTCACCCTGCAACCAGAGAGCACACTGAACCCCATTGATTACGCATCTTTAGCAAACTTGGCACATGTGCTGAATGACCAACTTTAAGTGCTGATGGAGTTTGCAGGGGTTAACCTAGCATGATGTGAGTTATAGTCCACCCACAACTGTATGCATTTTCTTAACAGGATCATTCATAAAATAAAAAAACTTTTTCAAATATCCTGTTCATCGCTGGCTACCTAAACTAGTTATAAATAAATGTTGGTGGTCATGGTGGTCGATCATAGCTTAGCCCAGAGTTTCTCAAACTCTGCTCCTCCGGATGTTTTGGACTTTGGCTCCCACAATTCCTTAACAGCTAGTAAGATGGCTGGGATTTCTGGGTGCTGAAGTTCAAAACACCTGGAGGAGCAGAATTTGAGAAACACTGGCTTAAACTAATTGTTCTGAAATATATTTTTAGTGTATCTAGGTATGACAGACATGGGTCTTTAGCGACACAAGTATTTACACCTAGGGGTTAGTTTGTGTTTCATTTTTCTTGTCCTCAACTGTTCGTCAGATAAAAACTGTTCCACACTTATTCATTGAAAGGGTTTATTTAGCACTGGAAAGCAAAGGGTGATTTGATTGCGACAGTCTGTCTGCAGAAGCATGTAAATAAGATTAGACTATGTCAGTCACATTTGGTGACAAGTAAAACAAATGCCTTCCCTGAAATGCCAACAATGAACTAATGTCTCAAATGAGATATCTGCATTCCGTGTCAGCTGCTGCCTCTCTGCAGATTGTCAATTTCTCTCTGCCATTCCCATAATTAATTATAGACATATTTTGCTTCTGGGGATCAAAATAGTTTCTCCAGATGCTAAAGCTCTTGCTATTATGTCAATAGTAACATGCTAGATTATAAAAATGCTAAAATTAATAACAGTTCATTAATTAACCTCCCATTTCTCCTTTCTTTTTATTTTCTTTAAAATGACAATTTAATGTTTGATTAGCTGCTAATTATGTTTGGAAATCACTGAAAAGTTCCTTATGATCATTTGGTCATTTTCCCCATTGCTGAGTGTTCCTTCCATAGTTTCAAGATCATTTTGGTGGTAAACACTCTAAGTAACAGAGAGTAATTATGTGCTGTTCTATTATATTTGTAGTTGCTTGTTAACCCAGTACTTTGTGTGGCTGGTAAATAACAGTATGGTTAAAATGCATATTGCGACTGTGTCTCCTGCTGCTACAACACTGAATCATTGTCATTTATGTTTTGGTGATTTGCAGGTTTAGACTGCTGTAAAAGTGCTATATGCAGGAAAACATCATGTCAGACTGAAACTTGTGCAGGATATAGCAGTCTCTTTGTTGACAGGTATAATAGTATTTAGTTGCCACTTTATTTCTGGGTTCAGTTCACTGTGTATATAATGGGATTTCTGCTGTAGGACTTACCCAACACTAGAGATCCTGAGACCATGCAGCAAATATAGTTTTACATAGGCCTCCACTAGGAACAGAGCCTTTTCTGTGTTATCCATAGTGCTTTAGAACTCTCTTCCAAAAGAAGTCATTTTATTCTCCTTCCAGATGTGCTTTTGGACATCTGTTAAAATTTTCTTCTTCAAAAAGCCTTGGGAAACTGCTGATAACAGATGTTCATGTTCGGTTGAAAATGTACTAGTGTGACTTTCCGTTTTCTTGAGAATTTACTTTTTATTCTAAACTACAATTATTCAACTATAGTTTTGTTTGGAATGAAAGTTTACAATACTATGGGCTTGATCTAATGGGAATATATTTTCCATTTAAGCCTCTATTCCCATACTTTATTTCTGGTTATAAAGACGTTATTGTTAAAATAAGATTCATTCTACTTTCTTTGATTGTTTAATTAAGAAAAATTTGTACTACATTTTGCCTGTTGGCATTAGACGATGCAGTGTATTTGCTTTTTAGGAGTCCCCAGTGGTGCAATGGGTTACACCCTTGTGCTGGCAAGATTACTGACAGAAAGGTCAGTGGTTCAGATCCAGGGAGTGAGGTGAGCTCCCATCTGTCAGCTCCAACTTCCCATGGAGGTACATGAGAGAAGGTAAACATCTGGACATCCCCTGGGCAACGTCCTTGCAGACAGCCAATTCTCTGACACCAGAAACGACTTGCGGTTTCTCAAGTTGCTCATGACACACACAAAAATTGTTCTTTTATTGTGTTCTGTAGAAAGTTGATTTTTTAATTTGAATCCCTCCATTCCTAAATGGTGCTGAAAAAGCAAAATCACATACTCTTCCATGTTATGTCAGTTGCAGATTTAGAATAATATGGGATGACATGATGAGCTGGTAGTTCAGCATTTCTTGGCTCTTCAGAAGACAGAAATATACAGATTGATACTTAAAACTCTAAGTGTTCTAAAGGTTTATAGGCTTATTCTTCTGGTCCTTTTTGCAAAGCAGATGGTGTCCAGTTAGATTAGGATATGTACATTGTTGATTAAAACAACACTTACTTGACTGCAGTATTACCTTCAACAGTGGGATGTTGAAGCATTTATTTACAGTGACACAAAAGCAATTCACTGTATTAAACATAATGTTTAGAATCCCTTATGCTCCTCTGTCAAAGTTAAAAGACATGGTGTTCTTTCATGGGCCTTTCACAAGCTGTTTCAAAAACAGTTGTATTCTGAAAAGTCTGTTCTTGTTCTGAAACACTAGTATACTAAACTGAAGTGCTCCAATTGTATTTGATCAGCCTTTTCTCTAGAAATACCATAAAAGGCGGTGTCCTTTTATGAACTGGGCATACTGCCCCCCCCCCCCCACACACACACATTGCTGCAGCATGATTCACTGGCTGCTGGAACAGTTTCTCTGCTCTGGTGGATATCCCATTAACTGTCTCTGTCATAATTTTTATGATAGTTAATGTGGGTGGAAGGGGAGAAAGATGGCAAATTCAGAATCTTAAGATACTGGAAAAGATTAAGTAAAATCTAGCTTAAAATGGCTATTGAACCACACCCAGAGTGTTGGAGTGGGACACACCTTCTGGAAAAATCCTTAACTAAAGACAGCAACTGAATTTAGGGGTGAAACAAATAGGCTTACCCAGTTCCATATGTATGTTTTTTTTTTTAAAAAACCCAACAAAACAAGATACATATCACATCATTGAACTTTCTTACATCTAAGCACCGTTTCTTTCATTCAATTAATATTTTACAATTCCATTGCTTCAGTGGTGTTTTCTGGGAAAGTCATCCTTGCAGTGCTGCCTTCACCCTGACATCCGTACTCCAATATCCAGAGATTCTACTCCCAACAGGAAAGTGAAGCCTGAGGCCATGATCAGCATTTCACTGTAGTAAGTGAGATGATGAACAAAAGCAGCTATATGTGCTAACTTGGGACAGACGGGATTGTCTGAGTACTCCATTGCCCTATCTACACTAATCACTGATATCAGTGTAGATTACGATCAGCCTTGGGGCAGCTACATGCTGCTTAGGGCTGATCCATGGTACCATAGGGCAAGGACACCTTAACACAGTTGGGGGGAAAGCCCAAATTCTGGCTCAGGCCTGTGGAGACAGTTGAGCTGGTCCCAAACAGAACCAGCCACAATTGCCATCTTGTGTTTTCTGGGTTTGTGCGGTTTGGAAGCATGGAATGGCAGTGTCCTTAACATCATAATACTGTGATGTCAGCTCAGCAACTTCAACTTTTTATACATTTTCTATCCTAATAAAGACACATCCAAGCATCCAAATATGTGAAGCATAGGCAAGGGAAATTGAGTTTCAGGGATGAATCTGGCTTAGTTAAGAACAATGCATGATTGCATGTGTAGCTATGCTGTTCCCCCACAAAACAAACGTTGGCAATTGAAAAAGAGCCGAGTCAATGAATATGGATGTCATAACCTTCAGCCCTCATATTCTATTTTTTCACACTTCCTGGCCAGCTGTAGCTCCCCACTCCATCAAAGTGAACAACATTCTGTGAAAAACGGGTACTTAAAAGATCTAATATTAGCAACAGTCCAATCCATGCAGTAACCATAGCATCTAAAACACATCATGCAATCAGTGTGTGGGTGGGGGTTAGAAGTAACTTGCCAGAAATCTTGGGTAAGGATTTCAAACATCAGGAGGGAGCCGAAGTTAACAGAACAAGTACTGGCAACATTCCAGTGAGCCATAACCAGCAGTAAAGCTAGCAGACAAAGGATGTCACGAGAAATAAAAGGCAGGAGATCTCTCCTCTTTACTAAACTTAACATTAAAATGTACGGGGAGTGGCTGACAGAACTAAAAATAATCGCAAATGAGAATAGTAGCAGAAACCAATGATATATCTTAGCACCATGTATTCTCAGTGGAGGACATGAATGAAAGAATACGAAAGGGAAGAGGGGGCAGGGAAGGGGGGGGGAATTTTCAGCCGTGTGAGCACTACTAAAGCCTACTAAATCGAAAGATTATGAGATCATCATTTAAACAATCAAAGGAATTTAAAATGACCCACAATGCTCTTGCATCAGTTTTAATGTGTTATGAGAAAATTGGATTAGCATGGAGAACAATGTATTATCTGAGTTGGGGGATAAGAGAGGACAATATGCTCAATGTGGCACTTTCAGTAAAATAAAACTATTGTTGTTTACCTTATCAATTGCAGCTCTATCATTTTTTTTAAAAACTTTATTTTTGGAAAAGTAACTAATTTGATGCCCCTCCCCACAGCTCTTGCATTGATTGCCTTGTCACTGGACATGGACATCTTGTCACAAAGGAAATTAATGATAATAATATTTCAGAGAAGGGAACGGGCAAAACCATGTCTGAGTTTCTTTGCCTAAGAAACCCCTGTTAAATTCATGAGGTTGCCATAAGTCAACAGGCAACTTGAAGGCATATATATTTCCTAGAATGGAGAAGGGAGATATAACCAAGAGAGAGAAAAACACATTGGGGCTTTTTAAACGATTTCCCCCCTTCATTTCTCCCCAACTGTTGCAGTTTCCTCTGTTGCTCATTCCATCATCCTACAATTCATGGCCCATCATTCCACTATAAACCTCAGTTTAAATGTAAATCCCTTCCCTATCAGTCAAGTTTAATTCTATTTGCCTATAGAAAACATTTTTCTCTGTGGCTCAAGATGTATGTTCTCTCTATGTTCCAAAGATTGAACTATTTTTCTATACTCATCTCACTTGTTGAATTACAAAGGAAATAGTAGGAAGACTATCAAATCCATGAGTTTCATTCCACATTTTCACTACATTATCCACTCGCCCCCAACATCCTTTTAGGATAAGATAGCAAGGAGAGGGGTTCTTCCGGTTCCCTGCTCTTCATGCGCTAATTTGTCCATGTGTTTAGATATTTCATATACTGAGCAGTTACCTTAGCATTAATAGATGTTATGATTGAATACAAATAAGTGCAAAGTGATCATTTTGATTTTCAAAAATCTCTCTCTGATTTATTGTTACTTTCTGCTGGGCCCTCTGGTGCATGAATGCTGTTTCTCCTAGTCTTTCTGCTGAGGTTTTCTTTTTAAATAAATGAAAAAGGCAAGTTTTGTTGGACTTTATTCCCTCTTATGGTAGGTCTTCTATATATCGTCTTGTATTTAGTGGTCCTAGAAAATGTCGGTACTTTTAAATTGTTTTTACTAACTCAAGGATGGACCTACATCCTGGAATAAGAAAATGTGACAGCAGTATTTCCAGTAGAAGCTATTTTTATTTCATCTTCTGTGGAAGAATCTGAAGGAAAAAACACTGTTACAACCTTGTGACTCAGTGTCATCCTTGAGTGAATAGCATCCACAAAATATTTTCTTTTTCCTGTAATTTTTGTTGATACACTGCATATGCTCTGTTGCTAGTTTCAGTACTGTAGATCTTGGTGACATTGAAGGCTCAGATCTGACTCATGGAAACATAGATTGATAGGGTGCTCAATGTCCATCTAATTTAACCTCTTGCCAGTTTAGGACTAAAACTGTAATGACCATCCAATGTGTGTGTGTAAACATAGCTCGTTGTACATGATAATGGCAAAGGAAGTATCTTGGTCTCTCACACCGCCACTGCTGCCAACATATCCAGCAAGGGAATATTTCACCATGTAACCTGCCTTGGTATTGTCCACAGTCTCTTTTTCATGGGATCACATGATCGCATTGATACCCTCAAGAGTTTCAGTTACCTCCATGGCACTTGAGATTACAGTACCAATGTGTTCACTTTAATGCTCACCATGGCAAGCTTGATCCCATTGATCCCTCTGATTCCACTCAGCATATCAATGACAGCATTAGCAGTTTTTCCTATCAGAAGACAAATCAGATTCTGTTTCAGAGCTGTTCATGGATCCTTCTAAGCAGCCAGACCAGGCCAAACAAATTGTTGGCCACGACAATTACAAATAAACCTGTAGTGCTTCCGTTTATCTTCTCCTTGATATCAATCAAAACAATACCAAGCTTGGATCAGACTCTTTCTGCTAGAGATTGAGAAACCCTTCCAGCTCAGGCACTCAAAATCCATCTACAACATAAATTAAGAGAATTTTCTTGATGGAAAGCTTCATCTTTGCTGTTCTAGTCTGATCAATACTGGTAACCTCTCGATTTTGATCCACCTCAATCCTTAGTTTGGTTATTTCATCTTTCCCTACCTTCTTGAATGGGAGCACATAGCCACAGACCAGTGAGTCCTAGACATCAAGAAATGAGGATGTCAGAGTTCAGTTTTCACCTCATTACAGACTAGCATTCTGCCTATGGCCATTTTGGAGATGGTCACTATCTTCCTTTCTAAGGGACAAGCTATATACAATGGGTTTAAGTATGGTGTCACTCCCTGGTACATTGGGAAAAATAATTGTTGGTCCCACACATCAGAGAGCCTGAGAAGGAACTGCACTGAGCTACATTTGGTCTAACAAACAGTGGATTTCAGTGTGTGGCAATTACTGCATCTCTGAAGTTGCAAGATGAAGGTGCAGGGCATTTTTGGGGATTTGCTTTAATTTCTTCTTTGTTATCAGCAGTTCACTCACTATTTGTTCTAGCAGCTATAAATAAAATGTGTTTCAGGATTCTTTGGATGCTATTGAGATACAACAAAATGCAAAGACATTGTCACGATGAGTGAAGTGGATTTGCCTTTTCAGAGTATTCAAATCTATTCTTTAAAAAAACGTGTTGACTCACCTACCATATTTCTTACATTCACATGTACTTTCATGCACAAAAATGCATACAGCCCACTAATATATGTGGATATACTAAAGGGTGCTTAGTAAAAATTGCTGACGAGGTCACAAGAGGGACAATCTAATTATATGCCTCTGGCAGACTTGAACAAAAACAGGCCAGATGGAAAGGTTAGCATATGAACAGAGCAGATCCATAGACTTTATTCAATATATAGAGACTTCCTTTGGTACACAGCCATCGAAAATCAGAACTAGTTGGGTACTTTTTTCTTTACTTGCTTCTATGAAGATCAGCTCCAGGACTTACTTCAGCTTGTGTTCCCCAAGGTTTGGTTTCATACAGTTTCCAAACCTCATTTACTCTGTCTTTCTTTAAATGCCATTACTAAATAATAGATATGCTTCAATCATAAATGACTTCTCTTCTGTGTGCTTTCATGTTAGTCTTCAGAAAAATATGTGCGTGGGGGCAGGAGTTGTTTTCTTTTTGACCAATTTAACCAGTATACACTATATACGTAATTTATTATTTCTGGATGTTATTTAGAATCATGAGGAACTTTCTAACTGGTAAATTGCAATTCACTGCTCTGAGGCAGTATACATAATGATTGGATATAATACATGGTATCTGCAGGAGCCCCAATAACAAGATTGAATTGGAGAATTCTGCAGTCCTAAAACAAAATGAGAAGCAGCTGCTGGGATTTAAAATACATAGTTTTTTGTCTGTGTTTCCATAGCCATTCAGTAGCCATAGTAATTTGTTGCAGAAAAAATGCTGAGTCTTAAAATTAGCAACTTTAATCTCACATACACTTTCATGGACTGCAGTCCATGAAAGCTTATGTTAAATAAAACTCATTTGTCTTTAAGATGCTGTCAGACTTTGAGCTTCAGAAGATGTTGATTATATTCATTTTCTTATTATGGAAATTAGATGAGGTACTCTTTAATGCAAAGATACAGCTACAATTGAATTGGAAGGACACTGGCCCATGGGCTACCAGACAACAGAACCACTTGCTTCTACAGATCAGCTCCCTGTCTCTGTCACTGGACCGAGTAGTTGCTACTAGTCTGACTGCTATTCTGGCCCTAAAGGAATATGTCCTAGTATGTATTTTGCATAAAACTTATGCAACAAAAGGCAAACAATACATTATGCTTGCATTTTGCATCTTTTGAGTCTAAAAAGGGACCGGTACAATATGGAATTATATTTGTTTTATTGTTAACATGGATACCCTGTAATCTTTTAAAAATTACGAATTCTTATGTTTCCTCTTTTATTTTTTAAGGTGGCATCTTAGTAACCTGGTTAATTGATTCCAATTTAGTATATGACTAAACAAACAATATTTATACATTAGCAAAAAGTATATTGTTTCTTTTTGAGGCTATCAGTGTGCTATAACAGTTAATACGGAGTAAGCACGGTAGCTAGTCTAACTTTTCATTGGCTAGTAGTTTTTGTGCAACATTGATGGGAATCATAACTGTAAGGAAGCGTAATCCCACCTAAATGGGATTACCAAAATTAAATAAATATGTATGTTAATCCACCTAATTTCAACCTAAATTATAAGGAAGTCCCAAAATTGCTTGATTACACTGCCACCATTATATATATAGAGATGTTGGAATTGAAGTCTCTGTTTATCCCTATCTGCGTTGTGAGGCAACCTTGGTAGAGTGGATTGCACCAAATGTAAAATCAATGGAGGAGGCAGATTTATAACACAGAGAGAACAAGTTTATTGTTAACAGAGCGTAATTGTTGCAATACTAAGATGTTGAACTTGGCACAAGCTTGATGGTTACAATATGGCTTGGTAGAGATACATTCAGGCTTCTGATGTTACCATCCTTTAAACTCCTTCTTCAGTGAAGTACTTTATTATTTCAGTGTTCCCTGTTGTGAATATTCTCTCTGTTTGTCCTATACCGGATCAAACCACCGATCTCCAGTCTTTCACTACTGGGATCCCTAAAACCCCCTTTGTTAGATTCTTTTTAACACAAGCAATCTAACAAGGTTTCACCTTCAGCTCCCTTGCTGAAGAAATATTCACATATGCTAAGAACTAACTGAATCTATACTGCTTCACTACACAGAGCCCTAACTGACTCCGCTCCTCTTCTCAGGGTCTCATCCTCCTGACTACCCATTAACTGTTACTTTCAAACCTTTTTCTCCTTAAGCTCCGCCCACCTTCTCCTCTGCCTTGTCACCATGGCAACCTATCTCTCACAGCTAGGCCATGGCCACACATGTAAAACATAAATACAGTTTAAACACAGTACAATAAACCCTTTATAATAAACACTTCTCTACAATAACCAATAACATTAAAAAGCACTATTCAGATATCTTTTGCCATATATCTCTGTTGTGTGCAACAGTATTATGAAATTCAAAGCTTAGAATTTTACTTTAAAATTGTAATTTCTTATGTTGCTTATGGTGTTTGGGAGGCAATTTTTGCTCTTATGTTTGTCTAAGGTTTTAAAAAGAACACACTTGATTCCTGTTCTGGTAATAGAAACAAATGTTGCTCTATTTGACTTATTTTTAACATCTGGAGTGTTTTCCTTTAGTATTTTGAAAACAAAATTCCCACTTTGCTCAATGTTTACCATTTGGAGCAGCACAAAATCTTACATGCTATCAGTGGCATCATGGGTAATGTGTGTCGGTAATATCAGGTGCTACCAACCGTGGGCGTGGGAGAGAAGTGGGTAAAGTGAAAGAAAAATGCCAAGGGCTATCTTTGTTCCTTTGTGTCATCGAAGGCTGGTGGTGGAGAACTCTGTCCTTTTCATCTTGGCTAGATTTATTCACAGAAATTCAGTGTTCACCTCCATCCCTTCTATATGCTCAGATGTGCTCCCCCCATCTCTCTCAATTTTTCCCACACATTTGCACAGAGTATTTCCCCACTACATCTCCTTTCCTTCAACACCCCCATTTTCTCTAGATATATATAAAAAACCACAAGCAGAAGTTTTTTTTTATCATATCAGAAGCAACTTGAGAATATACTGCAAGTCATCTCTGGTGTGAGAGAATTGGCTGTCTGTAAGGACATTGCCCAGGGGACGGCCGGATGTGTTACCATCCTGTGGGAGGCTTTTCTCATGTCCCCGTATGGGAAGCTGGGGCTGACAGATGGGAGCTCACTCTGTCCCGCTGATTCGAACTGCTGACCTTCAGGTCTTTATGTCAGCTGGCACAAGCTAACTATTTTATTTATCGTTTCAGGCAACTGAACAGTTGTATTACATTTTTGACAGAACAAACAAACAAACATACAAAAGACACAGAGTTTGCAAGCTTGGTAGTTGATTAAATGTCCTTTGACCAGTATCTGGCCACTTGGAGTGCTTCTGGTGTTGCCGCAAGAAGGTCCTCCATTGTGCATGTAGCAGGGCTCAGGTTGCATTGCAGCAGGTGGCCTGTAGTTTGCTCTTCTCCACACTCGCATGTCGTGGATTCCACTTTGTAGCCCCATTTCTGAAGGTTGGCTCTGCATCTCATGGTGCCAGAGCGCAGTCTGTTCAGCGCCTTCCAAGTCACCCAGTTTTCTGTGTGCTCAGGGGGGAGTCTCTCATTGGGTATCAGCCATTGATTGAGGCTCTGGGTTTGGGCCTGCCAAGCTAACTAACTGCTAACTAACTGCTCCTTATTGAGATCTGCAGACTTGAGCAGTGTGAGGCTGACTTCCAACACTCCTCACTCGACAGCATCTCCCCTGGACTTTCTTTTAATTTGCAGAGCTTTCTTTGCTCTCTTTTGGGTATACTATGCTTCACTACCGCTGGTGTTACTATAGTTTCTGTGCTGCAGCAAGAGCAATAAACCAGGTGCTCTTTGTGTGTACATGCATACACATGTATGCACAATCTGAAGATATAGGACAGTGTACAGGTATGGATACTTGAAGTTTCTAGCATTTTAGTTACAATATTGCATTATGGTCTGGTACAAGAGGAGGCATATAGGGTTGAATATCACCAATATGGTGATGCCACTACATACTGTGTCAAATAGGCTAAAGAAATCAAATCAATGCAGTACTCCAGTCTAGCCACTGCAGGTAGGGTCACAGACAACCAGTAACATTTACTGGTTAGAATGTCACATTGGTCTAGTTGGTGCAGCTTCTGAGACTTGGCCAACAGCATGTAGGATCTTGCATTGCTCTGCATGGTACAGTTCTCTTATCTCCCAAGAAAAAGACAGAAAAGAAAAGAAAACTCTTCCCCTGGCTCGTACTACACATTGCAAATAAGAGCACCATAGACTACTCTCCCTACTTGAATTACTTTACATAAATATGTTAATTAATAAAAATGTTAGTATCCCTTATGTGAAGAATGCAATTGTTTTAACCAAGGAATGGTCTTGCTGTGAAAGATAACTAGTCAAAAGTTACTATTACTTTTAACATGTTACCTCCCAGCTCTAATAAATGTATTGTTGAAACTTGCTATGCTTCTTGGATGGGCCAATAGCCATAGTTCTAGGTCCCTGATTCCCAATGTGGGGCACACGTCCAACAGGGGGGCAAGTTGATTTTGATGGGGGGTAGTTTGAACGTACATGGCAGTCAATTTGTGACAGTGGAGAGGGGGAAAGCCTGCTAATAGAGAAGAGAGGTGAGAGCATAGAGTTAACCACAGATAGTATGAGAAAAAAGGGAGGCTGGTTTCATTCCAAACACCCCCAGTCCTTTCAGTGTTCTTTTAACATTACAAGCTATACAAAATATATAAAAAATTCTTTTTGTATAGTAATTGAAATGATCAAAGTATTACAGAAAAAGCTTTCATTATTTTAAATGTATGCATTTCAGTGCTCTATTGTATATTTCGAAGTTTTATTTGCTATTTTTTCCACTTCACTTCATATTATTATTATTATTATTATTATTATTATTACATTTTTATTAATTTTTTCCTTAGTACTTCAACTGTCATTTCATTCTTTATCCCCCCCCCCCCTTTAATGAGTGCCATGTTCTTTGGAAGCTTGTTTAGATCAAGGTAATGGCCTTTTAAACTTCCTCTATGTGAATAGGAATTCACTTTTTAAATAATAAGAATTATATGTCTCGGGGGAGGGGGAGCATCAGGATTTTAGAGATGCTTAGGTAGGGCATGACCAAAACAAGGTTGGGAATCACTGTTCTAGATGCTAAAAAAGAATTATTTCTTTCTTCTGTCTTTCTGTCTTCTTTTTCCTCCCAGTCAGCCCTGTGGAATAATGAGATTTTCTGCGCAAGAAGAACTGCAATAGCTATATTCCTTTCAACCTGGCAATATTTGTGCTAAAGCACAATATCGAAGAAAAATAGACCTTCATGGTATGTGGATAGTGTGGACAAGACTGATAATGACCAGATTAAGGCTTCCTGGAAGAGGTGATTGTAAACAGAACTGCCAGTTGTGACGGCACAACCAGAGCATTTGGAATGTGTTCAGTTCGGTAGCATCAAGGAGGGAGAGGCTACTGCAGTCTCAACAGGTGCTGTGCAAGACGTAATAACCACCTCAGGTAAGGCTTATCATTTGTGTCAAATATTTCTGTGAGATGTTTGAATGGAGTTAGTGCTTTGTTCTGAGTTTTTTGTGGTCCGTTCTTTCTTTTTAGCACTTTCCAGAAAATACAATATTCCTAGTGCAATATGCACTGTATACTTATTACCCCATTGTTCCTTTTTCTATCTGTTTTTTTCCCTTTTTTGCAGTTTTTGACATGAAGAAAGATATAGATGCCTTAATAGCAGAGGAAAGAGCAGAAATTCTTGATAAATACGAGAAGGTAAAGACATCACATTTGCCCAAAATCCTGTTTATTTCACTTTATAGATAGCAGGAACCTCAGTTGCTAGTCATTCAGTCAGTTGTTGCAAAGACTTGCATTTCATGATATAGCTGAAATGCAGGGATTCCTTGATACTGCTTCCACGTGGCACCATGTGACACATAGTTGTTTTTAAAAATTATATGAATATGCCTGTTTGCCTATCCATGGTGTTTATTATTATGCCACATTACTTTTATTTGCAGGGAAGGCAGGAAGGGGCTCAGATTGATCCATGGGAAGATGCTGACTTCACACTCTACAAAGTTACAGACAGATTTGGGTTTTTGCAGTGAGTTTTTCATTTTATGCCCCTTTAATCTTTTTTCTTAAAACTTGCCTTGATAGTTACAGTCACATTTTGTATTACACTTTCAGTAGAGATGTTGAATTGGTGTTTGTCTTGCAATGCCATATGATTGTACCTACAGTTGCAGTACACTCGAGAAAGTGAGAAGCAGAAAGAGTGGTTTTATATTGTTTGTGAAAGCTTTAGCCATTATTTACCAGGCAAAGTGTAACAAGAGTTGTTTTTGGAAGTAAATGTTCATTTCTTGTGCATCCAGGCACATGATAAAATTTGGTTATGATCTGAGTTTTCAAAAACCATGACATTCTTCTAAGGAAACCTTTCTGCCACACCTGCCATTAAAGAGATTTGGGTGTTCGCGTCTGGTAATAGCATAAGCTCCCTGTGCGATAAAGAGGGCTACAATAATTTATTGTTTGATTTGTTTTTATAATGTTTCATCCTGTGCATAGAATCCTGAAAAAAAATTATTTCCTGATGCTGGGAGCCATGCAGTCATTCTGAAATTTGAAATAAATAAATTATAGCTTAAAGGGATAAGAAATGCTTACACTATGTTGTCAATAACATCAATTTCTGTCTATCCTTTAGGGCATTGCTGTTTAAGCTATCTGATAGGGCAAATTGGCAAGTGTTTTTTTCCCAAATGTGCCAGGGACTACAACAGTGTCTTTTTTTCCTGGAAACTCCCTGCAAATTATCAGCCAATGGCTTGCAAGCCAGCACTGATCTGGACAAACACTTTGAGCCCTGCTTTGGGGAATAACTTCATGTTTCTTCTCAGTGTCAAATGTTTGTTTGTGTAGTCTTTGTATTACATGGTGCTTCAGCTTCATTTTTCTCTTTCAGTGAGCATGAGCTACCAACTCGCAGCGCTCTGGAAGAGAAGGTAGTAACACTTCATTTTCTGATGAGCAATTGGAAAGGATTGTGCTGCTTTCATTTTTTAGTGGAATGGACTGCAGTTATTGGCTTTGGTGATCTCAAATCTATCAGTTGCACTCTTACTCTAAATGAGTTGAATTGAAAGTTAACCTCATTTACTTGATTAAAAGTAGTTGCAAGTGATGTATGTAATTTATTCCTATGCCATCTATGAAGAATGATTTTATTCTCTGTGTTTTCTGCCATGTAGCAGAACTATGGCAAAACTATGGGTATGCTTAGCTCTGGTTAGGAATAGGAGGCCATTGGTCATCTTTACCATGGGCAGGGTAGGACTTTGGGAACAGAGTTAGCTGGTTTATATAATGGATTAAAATGTACAGGCTGACAGTATAGCTTAGTGTTAACTCAATGAATAGTTTATGGGCTAACATTTTCTTTGAAAAATTAGATTTTAGCAGAAAATGAGTGAGATGGGTAAATTCCTTATTACTCCTAGTATATGTTACTTGCCACCTTTGACTTTTCTATAATCCATATGATTGTATAGCATGCTGACCTCAAAATGATATATTTCCCTCCCTTGTTACTAGTTTACATAAATTGTGAAGAAGCCTTTAAACTTCACTTTCAAAACATTTTTCCAGCAAAAGCTTCAAGAGATTGAACGAGTGGACAAATGGTTGAAAATGTTAAGAAAATGGGGAAAATACAGAAACAGTGAAAAGGTGAGGAATGACATGTCTTACTTTACTAGTACTATAAATACTAGTTCTCGCTGTTACTTTAAGTGAAATAATGACCAACAGGTATTGTGTCTCTTTCTTTTGATCAGCTCTCATGTAGAAATCAAAATGAACACTGTTGAAGACCATGGTTATATTTCTTTAAGCTGTAGTATCTATCCTGTAGCCTATTTCATGATTGTGAACTATCTGTGTAAATAACCATATTGATTCATGTATAAGTTGAGGACAGGTTTTGGGGCAAAATTATGAATTTTGATATGAACATGGGATAAGTTGAGGGTTATTCTGCAGGTGAATAAGCACCAGTGGCCACCACTACCATTTCTCCACCCAGGTATTCAAAAAGTCTAGAAGCAGCACTATATCTTGGAGAGTAGAGGAAGTCGATGCTTATTTTCATTTCTCCCAGGACAGACTCTTGTCTTTTACCATTCTACTCAGAGAAAGAAAGGGATACTCCCCCCCCCACCCCCTTTTTTTAAATAAGAGGTAAGGTACTGTACTCACATTGACTTGTGGATAAATTGATTCAGGTTTTTTGGGTGAATTTTTTTACAAATATTTCTTTACTTATACATCAATACATAGGGTATATTAATTACACAAACAAATGAAGGCATTTTGCTCAAGGAATACTGAAATTCAGTCAGTATATTCACAGTGAAAGACTACTAGTGCTGTGCTAGAACAGAAAATAAAAGCATACTGTTTTTTAGTTATCATTTGTAACTATGCTGGATCATATCTGTTGAAAGAATCTCAACTCAGAATGAGAATCTAAGATGAGGCCTCTAGTTTCAAAATGATTCTCATTCCTTTTTTAGCCTATGATTACTAGGATCGTACAGGATATACTACATATTAGAAATATGGCTGCAGTTTTATTGAGTTTTGGTTGATATTTTATATGCATATGTGTTTTACTTATTGTATTTTATTCTGTGTTTATTTTATATTCTATTTTTAGGCACCTTGTGCCGTGTGTAAGCTGCCCTGAGTCCCTTCGGGGAGATGGTGGCAGGATACAAGAATAAAGTTGTTGTTATTATTATTAAATATACCTATCTCTTAGAGCAGTGGTTCTCAACCTATGGGTCCCCAGATGTTTTGGCCTTCAACTTCCAGAAATCCTAACAGATGGTAAACTGGCTGTTATTTCTGGGAGTTGTAGGCCAAAACACCTTGGGACCCACAGGTTGAGAATCACTGTCTTACAAGGTTGTATTAATTGTTTGTTGTTGTTTAAAACTTTTGTAGATGTTCCGCAGAGTTTATAAAGGGATTCCTCTTCAAGTGCGTGGCCAGGTCTGGTCTCTCTTGTTGGACATTGAAAAGATTAAGATGGAGAATGAAGGAAAATATGAGGTAAAGAATCTGGGAACCTTTCACTTTGATATTTGGCCTACAGTCCATTAGTCCCAGCCAACAGAACCATTTCAACATTATAAGGACTCTTAACATGTTGTAATTGAAACAAAGGCATTATGATAGTATTATTGCTCCTTCACTTTGTGTCCTCTTTGACAGATTCATCAGAAGAGGGAGTGAAAACTTTCGAACCCAGATATTTTGGATTATGGGAGATATAATCCAAAACATCTGGGTTCAAAAGTTTTCACTCCCTCTTCTGATGACTCTGTGACAGAGGACACAGCGTGAAGGATCAATATTATTTATTTATTTATTTATTTATTAGCATCACTTATATCCCGCCCATATCAGCCCGCAGGCGACTCAGGGCGGTCTACATATCGGCACAATTCGATGCCATCAATACAATACAAAAGCAAAAACAATTAAGTGCATTTAGACAAAAAAGATGCAATAACAATTTAAAAAGAGCTATATCCTCTCAATCCAATCCTCATCCGTTTCATCGTCTTGGCCGTTCCTGGGTCATTCTCCATCTCAAGCTTGACTATTCCGGGGTTCCGAATGCCTGCTCGAAGAGCCAGGTTTTCACTCTCTTATGAAAGGTCAGGAGGGAGGGGGCTGATCTAATATCCCTAGGCAGGGAGTTCCACAGCCGAGGGGCCACCACAGAGAAGGCCCTGTCTCTCGTCCCTGCCAAGCGTGCTTGCGAAGCAGACGGGATCGAGAGCAGGGCCTCCTCAGATGATCTTAACTTCCTGGAGGGTTCGTAGGAAGAGATGCGTTCGGATAGGTAGGCTGGGCCAGAACCGTTTAGGGCTTTATAGGTTAAAGCCAGCACTTTGAATTGGGCCCGGTAGCAAACTAGCAGCCAGTGGAGCTGGCGCAGCAGAGGAGTTGTGTGCTCCCTGAGCGCCGCTCCCGTTAGCAACCTGGCTGCTGCACGCTGGACCATTTGAAGCTTCTGGGCTGTCTTCAAAGGCAACCCCACGTAGATCGCGTTGCAGTAATCTATGTGGGATGTAACCAGAGCATGGACCACCGTGGCCAAGTCAGACTTCCCAAGATACGGGCGCAGCTGGCGCACAAGTTTTAGTTGTGCAAATGCTTCCCTGGTCACCGCCGAAACCTGGGGTTCCAGGCTCAGTGATGAATCCAGGATCACACCCAAGCTGCGAACCTGTGTCTTCAGGGGGAGTGTAACCCCATCTAACACAGGCTGTAACCCTATGCCCTGTTCGGCCTTTCGACTGACCAGGAGTGCCTCTGTCTTGTCTGGATTCAGTTTCAATTTGTTAGCCCTCATCCAGTCCGATACAGCGGCCAAGCATCGGTTCAGGACCTGAACAGCCTCCTTAGTAGTAGGTGGGAAGGAGTAACAGAGTTGGACATCATCTGCGTACAGATAACATCGCACCCCGAAACTCCGGATAATCTCCCCCAGCGGCTTCATGTAGATGTTAAACAATATAGGGGACAGTATAGAACCCTGCGGGACCCACAAAACAATGGTTGTGAGGTCGAGCAGTTGTCCTCCAGCAACACCTTCTGGGTACGATCCTTTAGGAAGGACCTGAGCCACTGCAAAACAGTGCCACCAAGGACCATTCCTGCGAGGCGTCCCAGAAGGATACCGTGGTCGATGGTATCGAAGGCCGCTGAGAGGTCCAGCAGAACCAACAGGGACACACTCCCCCTGTCTAGCTCCTGGAGAAGATCATCCACTAAGGCGACCAAGGCTGTCTCGGTACCATGTCCCGGCCTAAAGCCAGACTGTGCCGGATCCAGATAATCCGTGTTGACAAATTGAGTGGGGTCCAGTGATGACTTTTTCAACAGCGGTTTTATTACAGCTTGTTTTAAGCTCGCTGGAATTTTGCCTTCCCGAAGGGAGACATTAACCACCACCTTCACCCACTCGACCAATCCTCCTCTGGCCTCCTTTAGAAGCCAGGATGTGCAGGGGTCTAGGATGCATGTGGTTGCCCTCATTCCTCCAAGTATCTTGTCCACATCCTCAGGTTTCACCAATTGAAATGAATCCATCAAAATCGGACAAGCAGGTGCTCGTGTTACATCCTCAGAGACCGCCGTTAACATGGTATCCAGGCCAGAACGGGTCAAAGCGACTTTGTCCACAAAGAACCGAGCAAATGCTTCACAGCGGGCCGTCGAGTTGTCAGGGTTCCCATCCGGAATGGTAGGATTTAATAGACCTCTGACAACTCGAAACAACTCAGCCGGACGGTTCTTTGCCGACGCAATATTGGCCGCAAAGAAAAATTTCTTTGCCGCCTTTATTGCTGCGGCATATGCCCTTAGAAGGGCAACAAACCGTGTTCGATTTGACTCGCTCGAGTCTGAACGCCACACGCGCTCTAGTCTCCTCTTCCTTCGCTTCATTGCTGCCAGCTCCTCGTTGAACCAAGGAGCTGGTTTAGCTCGGCTACTTGAGAGGGGACGTTCCGGAGCAATCATGTCTATTGCCCTAGTCATCTCCCCGTTCCAGAGGGACACCAGGGCATCAACAGGATCACCAACCAAGGTGGCGGGAAAATCCCCAAGAGCTGTCAGGAATCCATCTGGATCCATAAGTCTCCTAGGGCGGACCTTCTTAATGGGTCCTCCACCTCTGCAAAGGTTATGGGGTGCAGTGAGTCTAAACCTGATCAGGTGATGGTCGGTCCATGGCAATGGAGTAATAGATAACTCCTCAGTACTGCCACTGTCCTCCCATCCCTGGCAGAAAAACAAATCCAAGGTGTGTCCTGCACTGTGAGTAGGGCCAGATACCATTTGGGACAGCCCCATGGTTGCCATGGAAGACATGAAGTCCTGAGCCGCTCCTGATAGGGTGGCCTCGGCATGGATGTTGAAGTCCCCCAGCACAATAAGCCGTTGAGACTCCAACGCCAGGCTCGAGACCAACCCAGCTAGCTCAGATAAGGAGTCTGTAGGGCAGCGAGGTGGACGGTACGCTAACAGAATCCCTATTCTGTCCCGGTCACCTACCCTCAGGTAGACACATTCAAAAATGGTTGACTGCGGGATGGGGCACCTGGTAAGGGAGATGGAATCCCTATAGAACACTGCAACCCCGCATTCCCGTCCTCCAGGTCTCGGCTGTACGGAAAAACCTGGTGGGCACAGCTGGGTTAGATTCACTCCTCCAGTCTCATCCAACCAGGTCTCCGTAATGCACGCCAGGTCTGCCCGTTCCTCCAAGATTAAGTCCTGGATGAAAGTTGTTTTACCAATATTACTATCATAATGCGTTTGTTTCAATTTCAACATTTTAAGAGTTTTATGCAAAAGTAATAGAGATGTTTGGTGTTTACAATTATTTAAGAATGAGTAGATGAATTATTTCATGCTTATTATTCAGTAGTGGGAAACCGCATTGCCCCCAGTGGATGAACTGAATAAGGGCAGTAAGAACCACTTAAAATGCTGATATAATTACCTATGTGATCACAAATACTGAGATTTAGGCAACTATGAGTCTTGGATTTGATATCCAAAAAACAATGAAATAGAAATGAATTGCTGTCTAGAGCAAAAATAACATTTTTTAAAACAAAAGCCTTGACTGTAAGTTTAAAAAATGTCATACCCAACAAGAAAAACTTAACCTTGAGGGAAATCAGGCAGAACACGTGCAATAAATAAACATAATTACAAAAATTTACAGAACCTTCTCATTTATTGAACATTTCTGGCAAACAATCATATCAGTATGAGGAAGGCATTCTCTTGGTTTAATGCATTTCAAGATGACTGCAGTCTGATTCATTTCCTGGCAGTATTTCAATTCCCAAAAGAGCTATAGATGCAGTGACATCTTAATAAAATGAATTCTTTAAATTTATATATATTTACAGGCAGATTAAAATGATGGGATACACTCAGACTAACTTAGTTATACTTTGCCTTACTGAGATATATGTGGAAAGAGTAATAATTTAAATTACTTATCAGTTGAGTCAATCTGATCCAGTTCATTATTTCTGAAGCTTCCGTTTTGTTATCTAGTGATACAAGAGTGGATGCCCTTTTAAAGAGGTGATTGTCATTTGCAGTTTTTATAAACACTTCCATTTTTTAAGTATTCCAATTTGCTGCTTATTTCACCTCAGCAAATAAACTTTAACATTTGTATATGCGTGTGATTTACAGGGACATTAGATCAATGTTGGTTCTTCTAGTGTTCCCCTACTGAACGCATTGATTGCTCCATCACATATCATTGATTACCTGGATCCCATGAGTGGCTTCCTTAAGTTTTCCAATAAAAATGTCTTCCTCCAGTTTAATTTTATCCTTGATATCAAGCACCTGATCAGTTGTGTTTTGCAAATCCTGTGGAACTGTCAATGTTGAAATATGGCTGTTTATCAATCATGGCAGGGAAAGGATTTATAAAAGCAGACGTAGCTCCGGAGGAAGAAGATAATTTGCAGTACTACGTCTGAAAGTGTTTGTGCTGCTGTGTTCAAATCTGTTTACCTAGCTAGTCTTAGATCTCCTAATGTATTAATTAAAAGTAACAACAATGCTTTTCTCCAAAGCAAAGAGACCCATTTCCATAGTCAGTGTCATACTTCTAAAAGGGAAACATGTACTAAGGAACAGACAAAAAGCATTTTATACAGTAAATTAAAATGGCCCTGTAATTAGCTACATTATGTGTCAATAATTTTAATAATGACAATAATAATTTCATTTATATACCACCCTTTCCCCAAAAATGAGGTTCAAGGTAGCTAGTAACAAATCTCTAATTACAAAAAACCTTCTGCTGTGTGGATGTAATCATGTGCTATCCTTATTGCCCTAGACAGATTTTAGCCTGTTTTCAGTTAGAATCATTCTGGGTTTTCTGCCATAGTCCCTCTAGTCTGCATTTCACTTGTTTCACTGGTGCCACCTCCTTAGAGAATCAAAGGCTGATATATCTCTGCTCAATGATAGGGACTCTTAGTAGCAATTATGGAATAGACATTTCCCCATTTCAGAGATTGACTAGGGCTCTGTCAAGACTGCTTGTCAAGGCATCAAGACACTCCTCAAAATTTACATCCATAAGTCTTAATGAATTACCACTTCTAACCGAAAAGTGATCTGTTTATGACTGTGGAACAGTGGCAAGCCCTGCATTCCCAGATCACCGTTGTCCTATCCTAGTCAGAAATCAAGATCTAGAATGGCCCTAGCCGCAAATTGTGATTCACATTTAATATGAGCTGGAATTTAAAATTCAAGATAGACCGAATAATTTCCACATGCTTGCTGAAGTCACTGAAGATATGAGATGAACATTTTCCAATGTATTTTGCTATGGAAAAAAAATCCCATGCCATATGTTTTTATGTGTTTAGCTAAATTTATCTGGGCTATTGTATTGTGATCAGCCACGTTAGAAGGGTTAACTGTGGGATATGAGCATTTAACAGTGACCTATTGTAGTGCCCGGGGTACAATCTGACAAATGGACACATGTGTTTTTATTTTAAAAAAATCTCTTTTGCTTCTCAGTGAGTCACAATAACAAATAATAAAGACAAAATGTGATAAGTTATCTATGCCCACAGACACGCATTGAACATTTAGCAAAACAGAATACTCAGTTAATAACACTGAATCAGATGTTTTTCAACTTGAAATGGAACTGATTAGAGAGAGAGAGAGAGAGACTGAAGGCTTTGCAATTATACATCATCAAAAGAAAGTTGCATTGATGCAATATCAAATACATATTTTTAGGGATATGCCCTTAAAAAACAGTGCTCTTTCGAGTGCACCATTTTGAGTGGTTACATATAATGGAAGTATATGCAATTCTCTTTATTACAAATATTGTAATAAAATAATTTTACATACAAACTTTAATGTGTCTGAACATTTAAACCAAACATGCCAAACATTATTTAGAGCACTGGAATATTTTCCAATTCTTCTTTTTCTAGAAAACTTATTTCACTGCATGTCACACATAAAATGGCTGTCAGAAAATATCTTCAACATACTAGATTGGTAATAGAGTCTTCACAGAACCTTTCTCCATCTTCTCTGAATATTTCTAGTTTCTACAGTCAAGTGAGATGTGTGTAATGTTAGAAGACTGAGATAATTTCTTTCCAGGCCTGGAGAGAATATTTCATTACTGAGAATCAGTGACAATCAGTTTATCAGCATGATTTGACTTCTGAGGCCCGATCAGTCAGTTTGCTTCCCCATGAATCATAAGTGGAAGATTCTAGCTAGTTTTTTTTTAAAAAAAAAATCAGCTCTTGAAAAATGTATAGATAACTTCTTAATATAAAGTAAGTTCATGGTCTCCATGAATGGATGATAAGGAGGCTATGGAAGCAACTCTCTGAGTTCCAAGTAAGGCCAATCCTAGGTCCCAGTGTTTTCCAGGAATTACTTTAACTAACAAAAAAACAAAATACAGTATTTTTTCCAAGTAAGTTGTTCGTCTTCTGCCAATCTAGCAGTTTGAAAACATGTAAATGTCAGTGCATTAATAGGTACCGCTTCGGCTGGAAGGTAACAGCACTCCATGTAGTCATGCCGGCCACATGACCTTGGAGGCATCTACGGACAAAACTGGAGATGAGCACCACCCACCAGAGTCGGACTCGACTAGATTTAATTTCAAAGTTGTTCATGAAAAGTAGAATTTATATCCTAAGGACCAGTGTTAAAGCTTGCCAATACCATTTTCAGCAGCAGACCAACTTTAGGTCTTTAGGTGACACTTCAGTTAATTTTGACATGAGTAAGTACTGATCTCCAGTAACCTCAAACATTATTACCAATTTTGTTGCTATCGATTTTACTCCTAGATGTTCTTGGTATTTGTCTCTTTACTGATGGTAAAACTAATTCACAAGAGTATGGGAAGTTAAATGAAAGAGGATCAATAATAAGGGCTTGCTCCTAAGCATAATTATTTTGACTACTGCCACTCTTTTCAGATAATGTTCCCACTTGACCAGGCCTCACAGCAGGTGATTAGAAATAAACAAAAGTCACAAGCAGTTTAACTAAGTTCCTGAGGGGTCTTCAATAAACAAGAGATTTGAAAGCATAATAAGCTTTACATGGCTATAAATCCCGGAAATTGGCTTTTTGTAATCCTCTTTATCCTTAATGTCACCTGAGGCCAGCCATTAACCCTAAATGATTTAGAAGAAAGTGGAAGCCAGAGGAAGAATTTTCATAATTGAATATGAGAACATTATGGCAGTCTTTATCGCCCAGTGTTGCTGTTTAGACTTCTTTGAGAGCGAGTAAACATAGTGATATGCACACATTCCAAAAGCACCATATCTCTTGAAGGAAGCATATATTATTTCTGGTTATAGCTTATAGCAGAAAAACAATGATGGTGAGCCCAAGGAAGTGCTTGCTAGGAGCCTTCTAAGTTGGTGTGGGCAGACTGTTCTATCTTCTCTAAGAATAGTTATTTCCAGATACTTTAAAGATATTTCATTCTTTAACTGATTTTGCTTAATACAGAAAATGAAAGAACAAGCCAAGGATTTCTCATCAGAAATAAAGCAGATAGACCTGGATGTTAATAGAACTTTTCGAAACCATATCATGTTCCGGGATCGCTATGGAGTTAAGTGAGTATCTCATGTCTCTCTAAGATAGATAGCTACAGATGTGCCTATTTTATTTCATTTTATTTCTACTCCTTCACCACTGTTTCGAACTGTTGTTGAAAGCCTCCACTTTCAAGGTTCCAAAGAATCTAAAGTTCAAATATAAAATATTATGACCTGATCATTAAAGGACTGGCAGTCTTTATCAACTATTCCTCTGATCATATCAACTCTGTTCCCAGTGAGATCAGGACACCTCCATACAAACAGCTTCTGGGAGAAGAACAGGCAGAGAGGTAGTTCTTTAAGAATAGGGTGTTAATTAGGTAAGTATCTGAATATTAGATTTATATTTTAGGAAAATACAGATTTAGTCATCCCTCATCCACTATGTATGTACATATACAGGTATTCTAAAATATGAGAAACCAGTATTTGTATCTACCTAGTGAATGAGGGGTGGGGGAATGTCACATGTCTAGTGTCTGCTGAATTCAAGAAGCTCTAATGAGGGAAAGAGAAAGGGAGGGAGGGGAGGCTGCAGCTTACAGTCCCCCCCTTGCCCCCACAAGATGTCCCAGACTCCTCCCCAGCTGTCAGCACACTGTGTGCCCTCTTAGCTGAGAAGAGAAGGGAAACTCCCCTCCTTCATTAGACTATTCTTCTTTCTGGGATGGATGCAGGTCATAGCCAATGGATTATTCTGGCTTGCCCTCATGTTTCCAGGGCATCTGCCCTGACATGTACTACCATTGGGCAGACTGCAAGTGCAGAAATTCTGAGATGTCTGCTTTTGACTGGGGCCTTGTGTTAGTAGAGCCATACCTTCCCTGCTCCACTTTATCTTCCTTCAGGACCCCTTGAAGAGAAACTGAGCAGCACTGGACATGTGGCAAACCCCCTTTCCACAAAGTCAGAAATGGGCAGATGGCAGCAAAAAGTTAAGGTCTTTGAATTATTTAGTATTTCTGGATAAAGAAGACATAACCTCTGGGTTAAGAGGAGGAAACAAACTGTATCAAATAAATATTGCCTCATAAGCTAATGTTAGCTATCAGATATTTCCCTACATTTGAAGATTTTTGGATGTGCCTGTGCATTTATTCCAGAATATCTACATGGCCTTTGTCTTGAAAGAGTTCGTCCCTTCTCTGACATCAACTTTTTAGAATGTGAATGATGTCATTTCTGAAACTTCATTAGAAATGTTACAAAGACTCAGATCTTGTATAATCCATATTGTTACTTGCTTATATCTCTGTTTGTCAGATCCAACTGTGTGTCAAACTCCTTCTTAGTGTTTACAATCACTTCCACTAAATTGTAGGCAACTATTGATAGCATTTGTGTATGAGAGTGATATTGCTTGACTTTTAATGATTGATAAATGGCTTTCATAATGTTCTTAATGTTCCTAAATATTTCCACACATTCCTCATTTGTATGTAAATTAGTGTGTGAAAACAAATATTTCATGTTGGGTGCAAAATATTCCTTGTCTTTAAGAGTACCTTTATCATTATATGATGTTTCAGGATATTTGTATGTGCGTGATTGAGCAGATCTGTTGTATGATTGTATCATCTCTTAGTTGTGACTTGTGTATGTTAATCTATTGGGGACTCTTATTTGTCACCTTGATCTTAAAGCCAAGTGGTAAAAAAATATCTAACTCCATTTAACTCATTTTGAGTGGGGATAGGTGGGGGTGAGTCTTTTCCTATTGATTGTAGACAGAGATGCCTACTTTTCATTACAAAAGAAAAAGAATGAAGGAACTGGGAGAAAATTACATTCTTCTCTTGTAAATCCTGGAATGACTGTCACAGACATGTAAATCTGAGCTTGGCCTGTGTCACTTCAAACAGTATGAGGAGTTGGGGTTCATATACCTTCCTACTCCCTCATACAAAGCAAAACACACTTTGTGCATAAAATACTAGCCTTCCAGCAAGAAGGCTAGGTTAGAATCTTTATCCATGCAAGGAATGCCTTTGTATGGCAGGAGTGTTCAGTCACATGAACTCCTAGCTGCACAGTAAAAAAAAAAATCAGGTTTGCCATTTATGTGAAAACCGATGTTGTGTTTGCATAGCTTCATAAATATATTTGGCATTTCTGTACATTAATTTAATTAAAGTCTTCCTACGGAATCAGGTTTAGGTTGCTAGATCCTAGATCAGTGGTTCTCAACTTGTGGGTCCCCAGGTGTTTTGGCCTACAACTCCCAGAAATCCCAGCCAGTTTACCAGCTGTTAGAATTACTGGGAGTTGAAGGCCAAAACATCTGGGGACCTGCAGGCTGAGAACCACTGTCTTAGATGAAAGAGTCTCTTTCTCATTCTGCCTCCCTTGTCCCCCATCCACAACCTTCTGCAAGACATTATTAGCTGAACATTATTTCATCCTTAACCATCATGGTGGTTCCACAATATGCCTGTCCTCTACGTGTTTAGAACATAATGTAGTTCAGCAGATACAGTGGAGGGCAAAAATTGGCAGACTACAGCAACATCATGATGGAGATTGGAGAGAATTTGTGGCAGTTCAGGTGCTGCTTTTTGTTAAAACACCTGTAGGGGAATCATACCCATGTCTTAATGTCAGTAACCTATTGTTTAGAGCAATTGTTCTTGTGCTGTTTCCTATTTGCTCTATAATTGCAATAGCTTTCTTTAAAAAATACTTCAGATACAAGATAATTGGAATGACATACAAAATAGTTGGAACTGTGGCATTGGAATATTCCTCAAGGACGTGCTTACTGTCATCTTTTCTTCTTGTGCAGGCAGCAAGCTTTGTTTCACGTCTTGTCAGCTTATTCTGTTTACAACACGGTAAGAACTTAAGAGAGTCATTCAGAAACTGGAAAGTTCTGAAAGTTAGTTGTTATTTGGCAACAAAATTGTAGTTTAGCTTCAAAAAAGATTTTAGTTCTAAACTGACAGCATGTGCTTTCAAGGAGGCAGTGTAATATGCTGAAAACCAATTTAACTTAGCTCAGATAAAACAAATGCACAATCTTTTTTTCTTCTGAAGTGCCCAATTCCATCCTTACTTCTTGCTGCTTCTGCAAAAATCTCTACCCTTGATTTCCTGTTTTACGTGTAGGTACATATGAGCCTTCTTGCAGGCATGCTTTCTGACTAAATTCTCTGTGACTCTTTCCTACCCCCAGATTGCAAATATTGGTTAGTTCTCCTTGTGACCTCTTTTGCCTCATTCAATGGTAGCTTCACGGCTCAGGACTCCAATTTTTTACAGCCAGTTAACTCATTTCCAGCCAAAGGGCATAGAGGAGAAAATATGCTTAAATTAGCTACAAAATTTGCTGTTTCCACGTGCCAGCAGGAAGAGGATTAAGTCAGATAATCCAAGAATAGGAAGATTCACATTACCAGTGTTTTAAAGAAACCATTGTCTTTTCTTCTGAATTTCCTATCCACCAAGAATATAAAATAACATCTGTGTAGATAATATCATTCTCTTATTACATTGTCCCCTTCAGGAAAACTTGTATGTTGTGCTTTCTTTGCATAGTCTACTTTACTCTGATGCTGATTTGTGTAATGTGTTTCTTCATCCTTGAATCCTCCAGGAAGTGAGTTACTGCCAGGGAATGAGTCAGATTGCAGCCATCCTGCTGATGTATTTAAATGAGGAGGATGCCTTTTGGGCCCTGGCACAACTGCTTACCAATCAAAGACATGCAATGCATGGTAAGACTTTCTGAAAAACACTCACCCTTCTTTCCCATTATTTTGTTTTCTGTAGTTAGCATTTTTGTATCCTATATAACCCAGATAGTTTAACTGAGGGTCTCAGACATTTATTTTAGGAATCCTATTTCCTATGTGTATCTTAAACTCCTCATGTCATACACATGCACATATATACATACAACACAATATATGTGCATATGTGTATGTGTGTGTGTTCTGTCTGTCTCTCAACTATGATGTGTAGAAGAGAAGTTTTTTGATGGAATCAAAAGGCTCTTTGAGAAATGGAGAAAGTTAAAATGTGACCACTTTAAAGTATAATTTATCATGCTACAGTGTTAAGAAGCTGTGGAGATTAATAATATCTGTACAGACAGGATGGATCTATCTATCTTTCTAAAATATAAGCAATTGTTAATCAAAGTTTAAAAGACCACTGGACAGCCGTCAAAAACCTTGGGTTAAAAGGAACCATTTAATGTGATGATGGTGCCTAGTGCCACACTGCAGGGAGCATTCTGCTGTTATATGTATATCCTGGATGAGACAAGCCCGAGCCATGCACACACACACCCAACACTTTGTTGGGTACTATTAAAACTGAGGTCTTAGAGAATGGAAGCCTCCATATGTTACCCTCATTAAATATTGTGCTGCTTAGCTTTTCTTTTAACGCTTTCAGGCTGTTTTTAGCTGTTGGTTTGTTTTTCCCTTCTAAGGGTTTTTCATTCCTGGATTCCCAAAGCTGCAGAGATTCCAAGCCCATCATGAGGCAATCTTAAATAAACTTTTTCCAAAGCTGAAGAAGCACATGGTAATATTTCCTGTTGTTACATGAGCATTTGTTATTTACAGTTAATTTTGAATGACTTTTATCTTATCATGCATTAAAAAATAAAAACAAAAACTTGGCCATGTACCCTTGTAGTTCTTTCATTTCTTTAGTCAGTAAAAAAGATAGCATTTATCTAAATTATTTCACAGTTATGGTTGGAAAGACTGGTATTTATTTATCATATCAGAAGTGAATTGAGGGTACAGTTATAATGCATTTTTTGGCTTTCTACGAAATGTCCTTTGACCAGTAGCTGGCCACTTGGAGTGTCTTTGGTCTTGCTGTAAGAAGGTCCTCCATTGTGCATGTGGCAGGGCTCAGGTTGCATTGTAATAGGTGGTCTATGGTTTGCTCTTCTCCACACTTGTATGTCGTGGACTCCACTTTGTGGAAAGACTGGTTAAATATATTTAAAACCATAAGAATATTAAGGGAAAGCAGAAGCAGATATTTATTTCAAGTTAATGTGAGATGATTTATTTTAGTTACTGATGAGTCATTGCTACTACATGCGAACTGTAGCATCTGCATGGTAATATATCTCCGATAGCTTACTAAAAGATACCACTTTTTAACATCCTGTGTGGTTGAATTTATTTTCAGTTTCAGTTATGCCATGATTGTACTTGTGACAAACTGCAGTAAATCCAAATAGATTTGAACTACTATTTTGCTATATATTGGCACCAAACTTTATATTATATAAAAGGAAAATGATCTTGTCATCATTATCACTTATAGCACCCCCACCTGCAAGTTTGCAACCCAGCTTACTTCAGTTGCTGTCACTTTTCTAGAAAAATAACAAATTGGACAAAGATGCCTGATAACCTAAAAAACCTTTAACTCGGGAGGGATATGTATTTTGGGCTTTTATAGAGGTAGCATTTCAGTTTAATGTCTTAAAAATAGTTACTTTGATGCCGTACAGAAATATCCTGTTGATGTTGACTGAAAAGAGACAGTGTGGTATAGTAGTTTGAGCATTGGACCATGACTCTGGAGACCAGGGTTTAAAAGCCAACCCAGCTATGGAAACCCACTGGGTGACCTTGAGCAGGTCACACTTTCTCAACCTGAGAGGAAGTCAAAGGCACCCTCCTATGAACAAATCTTGCCAAGAAAACCTCCCTGATAAGATTACCGTAATTTGGAAAAACATGAAGGCACACAGCAACAACAAATTGATTGAAAACTCCAGTTTGGAACACTAGATATTTCTCCTTCAGGTTGCCAGTTTGATAACAGACAGATTAGTCATTATAGTATATTTCCTTTTCTAAGAATTCCATTAGACAGGTGCAGAAGGGATAGTAGATTCCTACCTGTTGTTGTAAAACATGTATTCATATTTTGGCCATCTCATAGGATTCTCTAGCAACTGATCAGAGAGCGCTTGAAGGGCTTTTCCAGATATGTTTTGGGAGGACAAGATATACTGGTTATTTTGAGATAAATATTTACTTTCCAATCTTCTATATAAATAAAAATGTAATGTTCCTTTTTGGGATTAACATAACTCAAAAACCACTGGACGAATCGACACCAAATTTGGACACATTACACCTATCAGGCCAACGAGTGACCATCACTCATAAAACACTGAGAAACACAGCAGAAAACACTTTAAACGCCAAAAATTAAAAATACATTACAACATATGCACAAAACCACATATATATACGCAAACATACATATATACACATGTACACAAATATATATAAACTGAAACAAAACACATATACACAGACTGGCTGACAGCAATGCGTGGCAGGGGTCGACTAGTTTGAAATAAAATGCCACAAATTTGCAAATGTTTGCAGCATTATAACATATTAAAAGAAAAAAGGGACAACACATTGGTTATCCAAGAGGAAATAAACATAAATGATAGCTTAGAATATGTAATTGGCAAGGATATATTTTTTTCCTTCAGCAGTAAATTTATTTTTGGGAAGATCAAGCAAAACATGGCATAATTTTTCATATGTTTGGGAATATAAGAATGTTTCAAGAACATAAATCACAATGTTTAGTATTCAAACAATTTTGCTTGTAAGCATCCTGTTATTTGCCCATTAAAATGAATATTTTCTCTTCCTCAGGACAAAGAACAGATGTCTACAGGGATTTATACAACAAAGTGGTTTCTCCAATGCTTCATTGATCGGGTATGAAGAACTTCAGCACCCTAAAAAATCTTTACTCGTGCTATTTACTTGGAGCTATTCACAATACATATATTTTTTCTTCTTCTTGCATGTATTTTTATGATGTGGGATTAGAGTAAGGTTTGAATGAAAAACAAAGAGAATTATAATGTATGGAATTTGGGGTTGGACTGATCTACTTGTAACAGCACTGCACCAGCATATTGGCCTGCTGGATACAGAAAGATACACAGAGCATTTAGCTTTGACTTTAGCCTAAAATACACACTTGTTGATATGTTGATTCTGAGCATATGTATTATGATTTCTGTGCAAGTTCATCACATCTTATTTTGTTAACATTATAAACAGACCCCCTTTACTCTAACACTGCGGCTGTGGGATATCTACATCCTGGAAGGAGAGAGAGTGCTGACAGCCATGGCATACACCATTCTCAAACTGCATAAAAGTAAGATGTTTGCTTGACATGTTTGGTTTGAATGAAGCTGGCACCTTGGAAAGAGAGATATAGTAAGAGAAACTGATTTGAAAGGCAGCATTCCTCCAAAGGCCCAGAAGACTTTGCACTTATTTCTTTTGGCCAGGATTAAAATAGAAATTAATTATGTTGCATTATGCATTTAAGTGTTTGACCTTGTTTACCAATGTTGCAGGCAGCATAACTGGTTTTTCTATGAGAAGAGATCTTACAGCGGTCTTTGAAATGCCACATAGTAGTGCATCTCCTAAGCGTCTGTGAAACCACAGTGAAAGCTATTGGGAAAATATTTGTGTGTAATTCAGCACTCTTTGAACTTACAGGAAAGTCTTTCCTTGCACAATCAAACAAGCCAAACTGGATTTGATTACCAAATATTAAGCAACTTGGGATTTGAATCTAGTATCATCCATGTATTTGCTTTCAAATACATTCTTCATCTGCTCATAAAGACACAAATTGGCATAACCATACCTTTTTGAAAAAATCCTCTGAATGAGCTCTAATTTGGATGGAATTCACTTGTGTCTAGACATTCAATAAAGGTTACCAGATGGTCTAAGAGAGCTGCTGTTTTGCACAGTGTGGGGTGGCCTTAAGCTTTATATTCTTAACAGCAAAACAAATTAAAAATAACTTGGTTTACTTAAATACATTTAGAAAAGTGAATAATTATCCTGAGGCCTATGTGGGATACACTATAATAATTTTGTTTAAAGATGTCTCTTTGTGATAGGATATTTTTTTTCCTTTTGGAGTTTGAGGCAGAATAGAAAAGTGGAAGGAAATATGAAGATGTTTATCTGATAGATGCCAGAATTCGTTGGCTACCTTACAATGCTTTTTAAAGTTCTGATCAGTACTATCCATTATCTAAACCAGAACACAGCCTTTGGATTATGTAGTTCTTTGTGATCTTAAAAATAAAATGTAGTTTTACTCCCTCTAGAGGTGTAATGTCTGAACAATTTTACATATAACTTCAAACATCAGTGAATCAGCCCTTTTTATAATACATGTACAAGAGATTCTAGTAAGTATTTATACCACAGATTAAGTTATAAACCAGTAAAAATGCTTTCTAGGCTGGATATTATAACATTAATTTGAGAGAGAACCCTGTGTAAAGAAAAGAATGTCTGACCACAAGAGCATACATGAGCCTTGCTTTTTGGAGATTTCACCCTTTATTCTCTGCAGCAATAGTCAGTAGTTCGTTCTGATCAGCATCATATATTAGAAGCTGAATCAAAACCATCAGGCCGTTTTTGTTTTGCTGACATTTTAACTGCTTATTTAGAGCGCTTATTGAAAATGTCCCTGGAAGATCTACGGGAATTCCTTCAGGAAAAAATTGCTACTTCTTTGCAATTTGAAGATGATATTATAATAGAGCAATTGCAAGCATCCATGGCTGAACTGCGTAAAATGAAATTTGATCTTCCTCCTCCAGGTAAGCAGAAGTAGAACAGCTGTGTATTTTTATACAATCTCCCATTTAACCAAGCTTTAACTCGTTTCTCTATGCGAAAAGTCCAAGTTCACTTGAGAAAGTGTCTCCAAGTACACTTGAGAAAGTTCACTTTCTGAAAGTCTAGTACTAAATGTATCAGCAGTTTTTGAAGCAGCTTCATATGTTCCTAAGGGAACATTATTTAGCGGTTCACAGTAATTGAAAGAATAACAGGAAAAACACCAATAACCAATAAAATGATTTATAATATTATAAGGCAGTGGTAATATGTCGGCAAAAATTAAAAAAAATACCTTGGAGGTTAAGAGTCAGTGGAGATACAATTGTTTGTCTGGTATTTAGAAAGTATTGAAGTTGGTATTCCCTTAGGGCAGTGGTTCTCAACCTGTGGGTCCCCAGGTGTTTTGGCCTACAACTCCCAAAAATCCCAGCCAGTTTACCAGCTGATAGGATTTCTGGGAGTTGGAAGGCCAAAACATCAGCGGACCCTCAGGTTGAGAACCACTGCCTTAGGGAGAGGATTTCAGTAGCAGATAGTCTGGATGAGCTTGCCTATGTTAGAAGCTTTATGAACTACAGCGTTTCATGATTTGTTCATGATTATTGTGTTTTTTGTGGGTGGTAAAACATAATGGGCTTCAGCAAAGATTTGTGGTGCTGTGTTATTTGGATGGTATGCAATTATCTGGAAGTATATGGCTTCTCATGAGACAACTAGGAATGGTAAAGCATGGGAATTCCGGCATGCTCATTGTTATTGCAGTGTAATTTTGGAAAGCTAAGTCTATGTTTATGCTGTGGACATAAGAAAAGCATAGCAGGATCACTCAGTTGTTACTCCATCTACTCTAATGTGTTGGTCCACCAGATGACTCTGGGAAACCCGCAAGCAAGGCATGGAAACAGCCCACCCTTCCAGCTTTTGCTTCTCCAGCAGCTGATGCTCTATAATAAGCTCCCTCAAGCCTTGGAGAGTCCATGTAGAAATCATTGCTAATATTCTTACTGTCTACAAATTTGCCAAGTCTCATTTCCAAAGCCATTTAAACAAGTGACCTGCCTCTTGTCTTGTGACTGAATTGCATTGCACAAAGTCAGTTTCTTTTTGTCTGTCCTGAGTCTGCTGTCAGTTGTTGTCATTGGGTGACCTTGAATTCTTGTGGGAGAAAAACGCCCCTCTATCCATCCTGTCAACATTAGGGTAAAGTTTACAAATCCCTTGGCATTTCTCTCTTTAGCCTTCTTTCTTTGTCAATTAACACCCTTGAATGTTATATCCTTTCTTCAACATGCTGCACAATAAGTCCATTTCCAGATTGAAATATTCACATGTAATACTGAGAGAATAGGCAACTGTGTTAGAATCAGAGCATTGGTTCATCTGGACTACCACAGGTAGTGGTAGTCCAGGGCTTCAGGAAGCATTCTTTGCAAGCTTTAGCTACAGGCCATGGTGTTACGTGGTGATATCGCATCTAAAAACTAACAGGGCCTGAGTCTGCTTAGCTCCTGAAATTGGGGGAAAAAACCTTTAGTGTGCTCAGAATGGTATTGTGGGACACAAAAATGATATTTTATCCAGACTTGTGCGTTTTGCAGCTTTACATGTTATATAGATAGCAACTATTTTCAAAAGTCTATTATGTGTTTCACTGTGTAGGTTTTGATTTTGAATTACAGAAATAAGAATTAGAGTCATGACTTTTAAAGACAACAAGTATTGGAAACATATGCATTAGTTTGGGAAAATATTGTTAAGGTTGAGTGTGGAATTTCGTTTGTGCAATATGTTCCTCCCCTGAAAGAAGGTGATTGTTCTTTCACAGGTTTCTGATACCACTACCCTGCTGCTCTTTCAGTGACTTTTGTCACCTGGTCACTTCCTAAAATAAAACCTATCAGAGTTTGGGTCCCTTTCATCTGCCGATTATGATTATACTTGTGTTCACAACTAGAAGCTAATGAATGCCATTTCTTGTTACAGCAAAATCTGAAGAATTTCCCAAGAAAGTCCTGGGGCTGGAACTCTCTCTAAATCTGGTGTCAATGAAGCCAAGTGTTGCAGCTAATGGACAGCAAAAGGATGTCAATGATCTCAGCCAGGACAAAGATGCTCTGATACAACTTTCTCCAGATAAAAATATTTCTCATCTGAATGAAACTATTGGCAATTCAAATATTAGAAAAGAGGAGACCCCTGACCTTTCACAACCTAATGGTCTTCCCTTGGAAGCTGAAGAAGTAGTCGTGCATAATGATCCATTCCAGAATAATGAATCAAGCCCAAAGTTTGAAATGGAGGAGAAAAAAGAAGAAGAAAATGCCAATAGAATCCCATCAGAGAATAATCTGGTAGTGCTGAATGAGATTCATGTCCCTGAAAAAAACCAGGACGAGCCTATGGCCACTAATGAAACTGATTCTTTAGAGAGCAGCAGCACAGAGAGAGGTAGTTTACAGAAAAATAATCCCTGTTTTTCTATAGATGATAGCAACCCTGTTTCCCAAGTGCAGACAGGACACCTGTCAGTTGACAGCTCTCTGTGGGAATCATCCTTACAGAGTCAGACTGTAGAAGCAGATCTTTCTGCCAGCCACAATAGTATAATTTCATTGTCAGGGTCAGAGTCACCACATCAAGTGCCATTGCTTCCCTCTGTCGAAGAGCAAAGTGCCATAGAATCACCATTGTCTGTGCAAAATGCAACAGTACTTCAGCATGAAAGTAATACTTGCGCTTCTGAGGATTTATTATGTGAACATACTGTACTGCTTCCAGATCATACGGCCCACCCCGCAAGTATAGAACCCTCTTTTATTCCAGGGCACAGCCTGTCCACAGCATGTGATTTGCCAGAAGCCGTGGCAGCTCCATGTGCAGTTGGACATTCTGTTCTCCTTTTCTCATTTGAGGATGAACAACGGCGACCTTCTGATGCATCTCAGTACGATAACCTGTCTGGGGGTGAATATGAAGACAATAACTGTTCAGAACATGTTCACAGTTCTGACAGACCGGCAGTGCCAATACCACAGGATGAGCTCTCTACTCCAGCTTTAAAGTGTACAATCCCCAGGTCTGCATCTGTTGGGGAAATAGAAAATCTCCAGGAGCGTATTTGGGAAATGGTAGATTTGGAACACCAGCCAAAAGGAGTTAACCAAGCCTTCACGATGCTGTCTCATTGTAAGAGTCTGACTGGTGGAGGCAGCGTGCCACTTTTATTGGAGCTAGATTCTGATGCCGGGAGGCTGTCAGAAGCTTTCCATGGTCGCCCCACTTCATCCCCAATGCTACAAGAACCACACAGCCCTTTCAGAATAGTAAAAACTACCACCCCTCTTCATTTAGCTCATGCTACGGAGCAAGGCTTCATGAGCGAAAAGCATGTGGCCTTGCCTTTGCTTGAGACCAGCTACCATGATGCAGCAGACAGTGACAAACTTGCTCTTGCATTCATGGATACTGCAGAGGATGGGACTGCCCAGGACTGTGTTCAGAAGTCACAAAATGATCTGGGTGGCTTACCTGCCCTTCAAAGGTCAAAACCAAAAGTGCCACCAAAGATTTTCAAAACTCATTCAGATAACAGTTTCTCTCCAGGCTGCCCTCCCATGGTACAGATGACCAAATCAGTCACATTCTAATAGAGTTGAGGAAGCGCTGATTAAAGGTACAGGGTGATTGTTCATAAGAAATGGGAAAAGCACAGCCTAATGGAAGACTAGGGAGCCAGTCCCATAGCTACTCATGCTGTGTCCAAGAATTTTGAATGCAGGTCAGTCTTTAAGAGACAATGCCTATGGACGGATTCTCTAAACTTGGCTTCTCATCTTCAAACATATCCCAAAGTGCTTTTGAATCATGTTTTTCATATTGCCTTCCTCACAACTGGGTTGATATATAACATGTTTAATCTGTTGAAACCATTTGCACTGTTTCCTTCAGATACTTCGAACTAAAAAATTAAGTTGAATGTTTAAACAGTGGTGAGATAGAAGGAGGGGTTTGAGGAAGCAAGTGACTACTCCGCTGCAAATTTAGGACAGTAGCACATTTTTCAGTAGCAATACTTGTTTCTGTTTCTGTCTGACACCCAACGTAGTCTTCTAAAAGAGGTTGTGGGTGATTTGTGTAAGGAAAGTTGACTTTCATAGCATCTATGCAATATCTATGCACACATTATTGATGTGTGTGTTCTCATGCATCAAAACCAGGCAGTTCAGCATGCCTGTTCATAGTTGTTTTGCTCCCTTATTTGTTTGCACTGATGAGGTTTCTCAAAGATTAGTAAAGTATTCCATACAGCTGGTTTTCTGTTCTACTCAGCCATGTAATAATCTATATAGGAAGCAAGGACAACTTCTGAGGAAAGCCAACATGGCAGTCTAGATCGCATTTACTGAATTGTTTGCATGTCTGTTCATGCACCTGGACCCTTTATGTACTTTAGGAGGGATGGCAATAGTAGATAGAAGAACTGTAGCAAGATCTCTGTACCCATTGTTTTTTCTTGTGCAGATTCCGAAGGAGAGAGCTGGCTCAGAAGGCTTGTGTAATTGGGGTGGGGGGGGGGGGGGGGGGGGTTGTGTAGTACTATAGGAACTAGAATTCTCCTGGCTCTTACAGGATGTAACTGCAGGAGTACCATGGGACCAACCATGTGCAGCCTAGCCTCATGAGAAGTGTCATGCGAAAGTAATCTACACTCCCATATTTGCATGTTTATATGCAAAGTTTGTCCAGGTTAGTCCCATTGAGTATGCATAGGATTGCTTTCCTAGCAACTTGTTGATTTTGCATACTTTTCTGTTTGCTAGCAAAGTGTACAGGGCTCAAGGCAGAAATCATTGCTTTAGAAGGTAGCCTTTAGAAGGTAGGATATACATTTTTCTTTATAATGCAAGTATTACTAAAAACTGAACTTTAAAAAGAAAGTTATTTAAGACATGGTTTTACAACTATACATTTATTGCCCAGCAGAAAAGAAGCAAGCTCTTCTCAAATTCTCAAGTTTAAATTGTTATACTGAAATGTATACAGAGCTGTATCCATCACTGTTTGCACCCCAACTTCTTAAGAGATTGCTTTTCCCTGTATGAAAAGAAATGCCTCCCTGTTTTGAAATCAAGGAATGACCAAAAAGACAAAGATGCACCCACTCAATGGATTGCCATTTTCTAGTACATTGCTGTAGAAGTTAAATTCAAATGGCAGTATATAACATCCAGTTTAAGATCCTCTTTATGTTTCCAGAGATACTCTGCTTGGGTGTAGTATCAGGGACATGGAATCCGTCTTCTTTTCTCAATCTAGTTTTTGTTGTTGTTTCCTTTGGAAATTAGTTAATCTTTCCTTCACAGGAGTGATGTGAAGGCAAATCAGTAGCAAAATCTTGAAGTTTTCTAGAATCACTGAGTAAAATGGTTGCTAATTTGGAGTGGCTCTAACACCCTACAAGGAAAGACAAAAACTCCTTCATTAATGGAGTTTTACATGTTACTTTCCTAGATGTTGCACGGCTGATGAAAAATGAATGTGTCTGTGTATGTATCAGACCCATTAGGTTAAGATCAGTATAAATTGGAGTATTCTTTTGCTCATTGCTTCTACATCACAAAGAGACATACTGAAAAATGAATGAAATCAAATTGAGATTTTCATGAACTCACACAAAACTGGCTGTTTGGTTAGTTCATACTGTACTGAATAGGAGTAGCCTGGCCTATCAATTCCTTTTTCTATTTGCATCTCCCTTATCTGTCTAACAAGGTGGGATCAGGTGCTCAGAGCTATTAAGATAATTCTATAATGCTTCCTGTTAAAGACGCTCATTGAGAGCCATTTCACAGATGTCAAATGCACATCCCAGTAAACACCAACATGCCTTGAACCTGTGACGCACATTTGCTCATTACAAGGAAAGCTGGTGGACAAGACAGGCTCTGAGCAATTGTAGCAGGTGATCCATGAGATAAGAATCCCAGGTCCTTGCTAAGTTTTAGTGTGTTCCATAGCATAATTTTGAGTAGTAGGGGGAAATGTGTAACTTTCCAGCTCTTCTTGGGCTCAAATTGCCACCAACACCAGTCAGCATTTCCAGTTGTGAGGGATGAAGGCACTTGTAGACTCCGAAGTGAAGAGCCATATGTTCTACAGCCTTTCTTTAAACCAAGTTGCACTGAAGAATTTTGACTGGATTTGCTCAACTTTTAAAATTTGCTCCACTTGATGTGAGATTGTCAGATAATGTTGTGAACAGAACTGTAATTTGGAGGTGGAAGTTAAACTTTCAGATTATTATTTTTCAGTTAATGCATTTATTTCTTCAGTTGTCTCGTTTTTCTATTCAACAAAGGTGGCAATCCCAGCTTTATCTTTTTGTAGATTATTGATCAAATTCTTTCCCTTAAGTCCATGTTTGCCAGCTATTTGTTTTTTAGTATCTTAGTCCTATTACTAGGGACATTCACATTAGTGGGCAGTAAGAAATCAGTTCTGTATTTTGGAGCTATATCTGGACATGTATACATCTCCCCCACCCCTCTCTTTTGCCATTGTCCCAATGCAGTGTCTGTTATCATAATCCAGTGACATTAGAGTGAATTTTTGGGCTTTCTTATTATCCTTTCTTTATCTTTCCCACTCCACCTGCAAGTGCTGTACCCCCTGAAACCTTACAGCAAAGAAAGCAGGATGATCTCCATTCAACATGTTGGGGGAAGGAATCTGTGGTTCTATTCTTCCCTGGCTGTTTTTTAAAAATTGTGTTGCACACTTCTAGGGTTGCAAGGGAACATTTGTCCAATGTAGGAAATTGAGGCAAAGTTTTAAAAAATCTCTTGCATCACTACCACCATTCATACCACAGTTCCTATCTGCCACATTAATTGCATCATGTTCCATATTACTTGCCTTAACTAACCATCAATAAATAAAAAAATAAGATGTCATTTGATAAAATATAAAGTGCTCCTTTGCATGGAAATATTAGTATCCTGCAAATGAAAATGCACACACTGGGCATGTATTGCTAAATAAGCTGATTGTGTTTCTAAGTTTAAATTTTCAAGTTTTTGTTTGAAGAAGATAGCGCTAAAATTTAACTTTGATTTCAGGCTAAAAGAATGGTTAAATAACCCTTTTTGGCTGGATTTGTTCTGAGATTCTGCTTTATGTAGGATTTACTAGTCGGTTGTCTCTATACAGTAACAAAATAGTAATATGCAGGATCCCATAGTGGGACTAGTAGACCTCTGGTATTAATTCAAAACACTCTGAAAAGGTGGCAGGTTCCAGAGCAAGAACAGGCTTCATATTTCTTCCCCAAGACATGCCCTTCCCTCTGTAATGTTGGTTAAGCCAAGAATATGAGCTTTCCTGGAGACAGACTTTCAAAGGTACAACCAGTTTTAACCACATGAATAGCTACAGGGAAAGCCCCTAGTTCTACTGGAAGTAAGGTAAATGCCATCTAGGGCAGAGCTGCTATTTTCTGATGCGGTGGGTAGGGAGGCTGTGCCAGGGAATGGCCACAAATTTGTGCTATTGGTTACTGTTGTTTCTCTTCTGATGATTCAAGATGCCCGTGCATTTGTTCATGTTTTATTGTTGTGTGCTTTCAAGTAATTTCCATCTCATGGCAACCCTAAGGTGAACATATCATGGGAGTTTCTTGGCATGCCTTGTTCAGAGGGGATTTGCCATCACCTTCCTCTAGGACTAAAAGAGTGTGATATGCCTAGGGGCATCCAATGGGTTTCCATGGTTGAGTGGAGATTAGAACCCTTGTCTCTTGGAATCCTAATCCAGCACTCAAAAAACACTGAACCATGCTGGCTCTTTTTGTAGGTGAAACTGTTATTTACATTAGGATGTAAAATGTAGCTTTAACTAATAGGATTAAATCATGCTGCATACTGCATTATGAAAAAGAATTCAGGTAGCAGTTCTCTGGTTGCAAGTAAAACCTTACATGAAATAAGGGCTAGTGTTAAATAATGTTTAAAATGTGCCATTTTTTGTGAGACAACTACCAAAGTAAAATCTGGCCATCTAGGTTTTCCCATAGTGTCTCCCAAAGATACACTCTCCAATGTTGTTGCATGCAGCATTCTCTGGTGTGTGAAACACACTCAAAAGGGAAGCAAATTCAAGCCATTTTTAATTGTTTTCCTGCATCATATGTTTGCATTCATTGCATACTTTTAATTTCATTGGGGGAATCTGTTTCAAGTCCGCAAAAAGAACCAAAACCCCCTGCTCCAGCTTTTTCAAACTTCAATTTGGAAGTTGCTGCTGCAAGTGGGCAGATGACTCTGAGGCTTGCTTCTTCCTCTGCTTCCTTCCAGTCTCTAATCCAACCAGCATATGCCACTATCATAGAACTATGATCAAAGTGAGAGAGTTCAAGCAATGGGATGTAGGCCTTTGTGGTATATGTACCTCAATGTGATATAACAGGTAGATAGGAAGCTTTAATTTTTCTTCTTACCCTCGCAAATATTCTAATGAAAATATCTGTGCACCAGAGAACTAGAAAATTCAAGCTGAAATGCCAGTAGAGTAAAAAGTAGGCTAGACAGGGACAAAAAGAAACACTGATAATTTAGGAGCTAGCAGGGTATATTTTACATGAAAAAGGTGTACTCTTTTAAATGAAGGCATTTCATTAAAACAGAGCTTTAAAAATATGTGTCAGACTACAATTCCCAGGGCCCTACAACCAGCATGGCCACTAGGCTTTGCCAGTGAGGGAATCTGGAAATTGAGGCCAAGAAGTCATTTTTCCAAAATATGTAATAAAATGACTATTTTTTTAAAAAAAACACTCCTTTTTTGGGAGAGAACCCTTTGTTCAGTGTGGTGGCATCATGAGAGAGCACACACAATGTAAACTAGAATGTAAACTAGAATTCTGGATTTGTTCTGAGATTCTGCTCTATGTAGGATTTACTAGTCGGTTGTCTCTATACAGTAACAAAATAGTAATATGCAGGATCCCATAGTGGGACTAGTAGACCTCTGGTATTAATTCAAAACACTCTGAAAAGGTGGCAGGTTCCAGAGCAAGAGGAAGGTACTTATATTTCATCAAGTATCTACTGTTGGCTCTATTTCTCAAAGCACTTAATAAGGTACAGTTCTTTCCAAGCTAGAATTCCTTTAACTCCAAGTTTAGTCCTGATGAGGTGTGGCATTCTTTTTGTTGCCATTATTATCCATTTGTGTTTACCATCTTTTGTCCTGTGAGCAATCTTACCAATAATTAAAAGAGGAAAGAGTACATGCTTAGCCTTGAAATAATTTTAAGACTGGAATTTTCACTGCCAGAAACTTCAATCCTTCAAGTAAAGCAGGCAAAGAACTTCACTTGTCCTTCAGCAGATAATGACAAATGATATTTATAAGATTCCTGTGTAGCAGGAAGCAGCCAGTATTACTTTAGGAACTCAGGAAAATCTCTCTCCCATCTAATCCTCGAATGGGGTGTGTGAGGCAGAGATGTATTTAGTTTTTAAGTTACATGTGTTAGGAGTTGGATCAGATCCAACGCTTTGAGCAGAAACAGTGCAACCACAGGGTGGAAATTCAGCATTGGAGTTCTGGAAACTCTCCCATTGTTGTAACATGTTATCTCTGCAGTTCAGTAGATTGGTTTTTATTGTGCACTTTGATAGCTCTGCAGCCATTATCTCTTTTTTAATTTCACATTTTGATGCTATTATTGTTTACACTTTGGTCAGCTTCCTTTATAACTTTGTGTATTGTATTATTGCTTTTATACATTTTATGTATATGTGTGGAGTGGGGAAAGAAGTATGGAGTGCAAAACAAACCATGTACTTTAAAAAATTCTGATCCAAAAGGATTGTACAAAAGTGTTCAAATGCTGTTACAATAAGTTAAATTTTAGCAAAAGTGGCTGCAAATGTTATTTGAGACACAGGGTTTTTTCCTAAGTTGTTTGCTTGTTTTTTTTCCTGTCCTAGGACTGAAGTGGGCTAAAAGCATGACACATTGCTACAAGTCTCTTCTAACACTTGAGTAGGGGACACAAGATGGTACATCCTCATGCCATTGTGGAATTTGGGTATTTGCAGAGTTTGGTTATATGGCAGAACCAAGACTTAGAAAGCTGGGCTGAGATCCTACATCCATGCAACAATGATATAATACTCTACCTGTGCAGTTAGATTGGGCTGTTGCTTCACCCCCATATGGAGTGCAATTCCCCAATGCTGGATGATAGCTTCATAGCCATTTCATGCCCAAGGGATGGTATGCAGTGCCATGTAAGCATGCAGTGGAACCTCTGCTGGATGGAAACAGTGGCAGCCTTCCCAGACTTCCAGAATGAACGTTGCATCCAGAAAAAAAGACAGTTTCCCCTCTTTCTGCTTGGTTATCCTTTCACAGCCACTACTCCCCGCCTTTTTTTAAAAAAAAGCTGGCTGCAGAAGGAGGTATTCTGCAATGTGGTATTTCATATTTCTTGCACAAAAAATGGTTTAATGCATACATCACCCAGGTCATACACGCATATCCACCAAGAGGGTTCCGGCCATGAAAATGAGGTGAAATCTTCTGAACATGGACACAGACCGCAAAAAGACATTACAGAGGTGTTAATCTTTCCCTAGGCTATCCAAAATTTTAAAAATGGGCAGAGTTGCACTTTAAAATGTACCTGTTCTGATTTACAAACATACTCAACTTAAGAACAAACCAATGTAACCTATTTTGTTCATCACTTGGAGACTGCCTGTACAGGCAAGTGTTCTGCAGGAGGGCAACTTGGACTTTTGCATGCAATTTACCTTGTGTTAACCTCTGATTCATAGTGAAGCAGCTGGTAGTGGCCGAATCTCTGCGCCCGGGTTGATCAAACTATGCAACCTGGAGGAGGGCCTACAATTCCTCACATTCCTTATCTATGGTGGCGCCACCTTTAATCCACCAACTTTGCCCCCTACTTCTCTCCAGTAACCTGGGACTTGGACAGTATGATTTCACGCCATCCTTACAGTTTAATTCATGTGATCACCACTTTCAAAGACATTAGCTGTTTTCTTATCAAATAAAGATAAAGACTGCTACTCTTCAATTCTAGACCCCCATGGAATAAGTAACTGATACACACCCTTACAACTCATCACTTTTAGCCCAATCTAAAGTGTGTCACAACAGCAGCCTTACCTCTATACAAATATATGGTTGAATTGAAGAAGGGAGTTCCCAGATGCACAGCTCGGTTGAACTTGCAGATCTAAAACCACAAGGAGGACAGTGTGGACACTTCAGTTTTGCAGCAAAGGTTTGTCAGTTTTTCCTCTCTTAATCCAGGGGTTTTGTTTTTTTTTTTTGCTTTGTTTTTGTTAATACAATTCAGTGCCAGATTCCTTCTGCATGTGATGGAAGAAAGCACATGAAGCTACCTCCTATATTTTTTACCCAAGATCTGAGCTAAGAAATTTTGTTGTGCTTCCCCATTGCAATAATTTTAATTGTACTTAATGAATGTTACAACTGATCAGTGGCAGCAACATGCTGCACAAATCCATTTTTTCCTGGCTACATGAAAGAACAACAGATTGAACATCTTCATCTGTACTTCAGCTAGCTGCTGCATACTTCAGAATCAAAACTAGTGTTCAAACCATTAGTTGAAGCTCAACTGTCCCCTTCCCATGCTTCCAATAGTATAATGATCTTATTGCTTGCAGGGCTGTTAGATCAACAAGGCAGTGCTGAATAATTTATACTAATTGGGAATGGAGCAAACTCGGGACAAAAAGCTACGAATGCTGCCATTTTTAACTTGGATGTAATAGCAGAATACACAGGAAAAAGAACTGTAAGGTGTGGTCCCCAAGCCATACTACACGGAAAGAATGTAAAAGTATTTACTTAGTTTGGAAAATCTCACCATATCATCAATGGTTTGCTCAAAAATTGTAAGAACATACCTATGATTATAGCCTGAATGAAAAGATCACAGAAAACAGTCTCCTCTCTATTCAAAACTTAACATTGAAGACACAGTTTAGTACCCTGAGCTTCTGAAGAAAATTTCTTGTCTTTAAAATAATAAGGTCAAGATGTCGCTTAAGCCCATAAAGTGCTTAGCACACAATAGCATAATGGTTTATTTTTCAAGTTGATCACTGCTTTGAAACAGCCATTTCCACTCTGTAAACTATGCTCTAAGTCCCCCTGGCAGACCGCAGCCCTCTGGGTGCCTATGTCCTGACCTCCTAATTTTCCCTGTTCTCTGGGCAAGGACGGGGGAGGAAGGCAGCCTTCTGGAGAGCTCTCAGCCGCCACGTGTCTCGCCCTCCTGGCATAAGGAAGGGGCAAGTAGCCCCATCCTTATGCTGAGGGGATGGCCTGAGGATGACCCATTGCACCCCACACTTGCCTCCCCCCAATGTTGCCCTTCCTCCTAGCCCAGCCCTGCTGGCTGGGCCTACAATGTGGCCCCAGGGCAAAAAAGTTTGTCCATGCCTGTTCTATCTCATAAAAGTAGGTTAGTCTAGAAAGAATGGAATTATGAGTGAGGGATTCTGACCGTTGTCTGAGGGAACAACACAGAATTTAGGATTGTCTTCCTTATGAGAAAGAAGAAAACCTGTGTCTGTTGCTATTCTGATGTGTTGATAAAAACATTAGGACACATGGCCTCACTTCTTAGTTTCACCTCATATATATTCAGATGCTTTTGCCTCATCTCATGGGAGTACATACAGACTTCTGTGAGATAGGTGTTATCAAGTAAACCTTCAACTTGAAATGTGGATTACAGAGGAATATCTTAAACACAATTCAGAACATTTACAGCCCCAAATACATTTAAGCCTTTAAATGCCTCCTTTTCACTCACACTGGTGTGAAAAGTGCTGTTGGGGAGGGGGGGGGGTTAAGCAGCTGACTGCATTGAGCCAACATTTCCCCAAAATCGTATTTCCAGCATGATCATATGAAAAGTGAAAATGTAAAATGATTATCCATACATGATGCCTTTCTCATTCTACATGATGGCATAAGTACTATGATTCAAACATTTAAGTGTGCCTTGCATAATGCTTAACAGATTAATAGCAACTGTCATGGGAGAGGCATGTTAAATAATTGCACCACAGAATTGTCCCTAATTTATATTGAGTATATGAAACCTTCACAAGAATGTAACACCTTTTTGCTTTGTAGTTGTTGCTCTAATACTGAACCTTTTAACAGTGTAATGCACAACAGCACTACAGCTGAATGTTCCCCATATGCTACATCTATACTCAGTTTTGAAAAGTCAGCAAAACCAACACACATATATGCATAGGCTTCTACCTGTGGAGATAACTGGACTCATTAATGAGCAAGAGACATAAGTGAATTTTTCACTGGTAGCTTCCCACACCTCCAGGTCAACACTGACATTCTTTATTTGAAGACGGGACATTGCTTCTGCATAGCAAAAATGTGTTGCCCATTTCTTGGCTTCACCTGGTTTCATAGGCTCTGGAGTGGTTCCTAAAACCCTTGTTGTGGCTGCATAGTCCAAGAAACCTTTATATCCTAAATATCGATCACCTACAGCCCACAGTTTCTCTATAAATTACTAGTTCAAGAGCACTCTATCCTTCTCTCAGCCTGCTGAGGAAAAAGAGCAGAGTGGCCCAAAAGAGAGAGAGAGAATCTTTAGCCAAGCCCACTAGCAGCATTGGGCTCTTGACAAGCAACCGACTCTTCATCCTCATATGACAAATAGGCATAATTAACAAGTCTACATATGATAACCATTTCTCAAGGACATGCACCATATTACAGCATATTCTGCGGAATCACAGAAAATGGAATGCTGTTTTTAATGCATTTGCCACGCACATGTGGCCAAACCACTTAAACCAGTTAAATATGCCATTACTTTTTTGTTAGCAGTAGCGGAGTAATTTCAAGAGAACTTTGGATGAAAAGGCATCAATGCAGAGAAGCAACACACAAGCTGAGAACTTCAAAATAAACACACTTCTGAGAACAAAACACTTTTAATGACATTTAAGGCTAGATTTGGGTTCTCTTTTACACCTCCCCAAAACTTTTAAAAAATAATACCTGTTTACCTAATTATTGGAAGGGATTGGTTTTCCTTAATTCAGCCAGTGCCGAGAGCACCCAGATTTGCTATCTTACTGGAGAGGAAAAATTAATTACAGCAAGTATAATTGGTACAGTCACAGTTAATACAGAAGAGCTGCCACCTGAAGAGCAGGGATCTAAGCTGTGCATGCAGGAAGCGTAGGCACAGCGGCTGCAAAAGGAAAGAGGAGGAGGGTTTGGAGCAAGAGCAAGGAAACAGGCCCTGATGCCTCCAGAGACTAGCTCCACCGCCCAGGAAGTAGACAGAGTTCGCAACAAGCACGTCAATGAAGTCAGCCCCAGCACAGGCAACAAGCATGAAAAACTGCTCAGAAAAGAGGCCAAGCTTACAACAAATAGGAAAGCCAACACGTGACCCTTTCTTGCCCACTAAATGCCCCTCCCTTCCCAACACCCCATAAGACACAATGGCTAGGAGAGGAAAACAGAGATAGCATAGCACCCAGTGCCCCCAAAAGGAAACATGAGCCCCTCCCCCCACAACCCCACCAATTAGCAAAATAATGGGCTCAGTGAAAAGTGGATGGAGAGATACAGAATCAAAGTTCCTTCAGACCCCATCAGGAAATTGCTGTATAGCCATCTTTACATTTACACACAGACATCCTCCCAACAAACTGCAAAAGGGAAAAAAGAACCCAGAAGTGACATACATTAATGAAATGCCATTCCCTCTTTCCCACTCGCCTAGATTCCAGAGGAAACAATTCAGACCTGCAGGGAGCTTTTGTGAGACCAAACTCTGCAAGGAAAACCTATAGCGGAGACAGCAACAGTGTGTATTAATGAAAGACACTGGTCCTATTTTCTATCTGTCTCAGGGAAGACTAATAGGCAGGATGATTGGGCGAAAGATCTAGATACAGCACATTTTCTATTAATATAAAACCTGGTTTACAAGGTTGGGTGGTGCCTCTTTGTCCCACCCAAAGAATATAATGTCAACTATTTGGGAACTGATAAGTTTCCTGGCAAATCTAGAATGACAAGACAGTTGGGAGTAGAAATGTTTTCCAAAGAGGCCTAGACTTGGAGGAGGCCACAAGGTTCATCCAGTCCAAACCCTTCCATGTAGGAACACCCAAGCACCCCTGACAGATGGCCATCCAGCTACTGCTTAAAAACTTGATTTGCAAACAACAACTTTCTTTCTGAGATACAAACATAGAACCATTCAAACTAGAAATAGTGTGTTTTCTTCCTTTCTAAAATGCTTCTTTAACTGATGTGTAGCCAGTGTTTGCTCCCACCCATCATGCTTGAAGAAAGAGCCCTGCTCTGTGTAAGCTTTCCTCCTTCTCTGCCAATCCCTGCTCGAGGAGGACAGGGAAGATAGCTCAGTCCTCAGAATCAGGACAGAGATGAAAAAGCCAGTGTCAAGACCATCATATAATAATTTACTGAAATTCTATCTGTGGCTTTGTATTCATTTCCAGGAAAGGGGGGGGGGAATGCAGAATGTGGAGGGGGTTGTTTAAAAAATAATAATAAAAACAGTTCATTGCAGGTCTTGGTGACGTTTAGAAAAAGTCCATGCAGAGCTCCTGGGGTCTGCAGATACCCTCTTGTTTGTCTTCTTCCCTGGAATCCATTTGATTCTTCTTTCACATCACCTCCATCTCTGCACAAAGCATAGTGGAAACTCCTCCAAGTCACAGTCTGGTCAACTGGGAACAGAAACGAGGGAGAATTAGGAAAGATTTTTAATTCAGTGTAGATTTCAGTCAGCAATAAAAGAAATTGACCAAAAAGTCCTGCTGAGATAAACCTGCAACAGTGTTTTACTTTAAAGTGAATTCTACTCTGTGTCAGGTTTTCTTCCAGCCTATTATTTCCTAATTGGCTTAGTGTAACTTGGTGCAAAGGGTTTGTGCAGCATTTCCTCAGCAGATGACTAATGCTCAGAGCAGGAACATTATGTTCTATTGCTACTGGTTCTTTATAAGCAGGCAGGCAAGTTTCTGCACCCACTAAAAGTAATCAACTACTAAGAAGATGTGTATCTGGGGTCTGGTCTGTAGATACTGAACTTACTCAGGAGATACCTAAAGACACTGTTTCACTATTTCTACCATTTCTATTCATAGCCAACAGATGTTGGTTGCTGACTCTGTCCACTCTTAATTTGCAATCCAGGTCCCGTATCAAGGATCTCTACTGATGCATGGAAGCATGCAACTTTCTTTTGCCAGTGTTGAGGTATTCTCTCTTTTCATTGTGATTTATTAATATTTTACCATCCTTGCTGGGCAATATTCCCACTGTTTTCTTGGTCATTTAATTTCTTCAAACATATTTGTAAGTATGTTGTAAATATTCATTCAAGCTTGGGTTTCACATCTGTATTCTTTCTTGGTGATTTGTCCTTCCTTCCATACTTTATACATGCTCTGTTTTTTCTTTTCACATCCTTCTTGAATTCATTGTGCAGCCACATTGGCTTGTTTAGGTGTTTCTCATTCCTCTTCTTCCACATAATTTTCTGTGACTGCCATTTTAACATCTCCTTCTTCATAATCTTGCACTCTTGGTGGGTCTGCTTTTTTCCTTTAGCATCTGTAGCCATGGAATTCTACCCAGTATTTCTCTAAGATAGAGAAAATTAACTTTCTTGAAATACTGGGTTGACGATACTCTTCTTGATGTTATCTTAGTAACCAACTGATATTATTCCAGGGACTAAAGTTGGTTTTTTGTTGTTGTTATTTATGTATATGCTGCTTGTTCTCTCTTAAAAGAGACTCAAAGGGGCAAAAAATGCTAAAACAATACTATATACAATTTAAAACCTAAAGCATATAACACAAAAATAGAATTAAACCTAGGACTATTGAAATAAATAGTTAAAGCCATTAAGGACTAAAGTCCAGGAATGTTCTTTCCTTTAGGTAAAGGTAAAGGTTTTCCCTGACATTAAGGGCAGTCGTGTCCGACTCTGGGGGTTGGTGCTCATCTCCATTTCTAAGCCAGGTCATGTGGTCAGCATGACTGCATGGAGTGCTGTTACCTTCCCGCTGGAGCAGTACCTATTCACATTTGCATGTTTTCGAACTGCTAGGTTGGCAGAAGCTGGGGCTGACAGTGGAAGCTCACACCGCTCTCTGGATTCAAACCTGCGGCCTTTCGGTCAACAAGTTCAGCAGCTTAGTGCTTTAACCCACTGCACCACCGGGGGCTCCGTTCTTTCCTTTACTTGCAGGAAAATAAAATTATCTGCAAAACAGGTAACTAGTTGCAAAAAGCTAACAAATAACCAAGCAAATAATATTTGCATTAAGATGATGGTAGACACTGTTAGTAAATGTAATCACATTTACTATCTAGTCTCAAATAGTTTACAGATTTTCTACTAAGACTTTTTTATGCTTTTGAGGAAAAATGGCTGCAGTACTGCTTGCTAACCTCATGGTGATGCTGTAACACTTACTGAGGCTGTATTTCAACTTAATCTAGACAGTAGTGTTTTTTACTTACAGGCAATAGTGTATTCTGCTTCCCTTTGAATAACACAGGCAACCCAAACTGATAACTGAAATCTTATATTTAAGGAATTGGTGAAAGACTAATTTATACCAGCAAGATTACGCCCAAAAATCATCCCTGCAAATAACTCTTCAGGAAGGTCCTGCTCTTCTGACTGCTGGTCACTCCACCTCCTCTTTCGGGCTGCTTCAGAACTGAAATTGGCCCAGATTCTCTCTGGTCATTACTTCTGCTTTGATGCTGAGAAAGGAAGGACAAGGCTTCCAGTCCGGTATGACTTCAGCCCTGCCTTTTTTTTGGGGGGGGGGGGTACGACACTGCTTGTTTGTGAGTGGCTCCTCCCCTAGATTTTCCAGATACCACTCCTTTGGTGGTTGTGGGAGGGAAGAAAGATTACATTTTTCAGGTGCTTGCATTAACACAGGAGAATGTTAAGGTGAATACATTTGTAGCTGGGACTTTTGCCTGGCCATGTGAGGCTGGTCTGTCTTGTCTGAAGTGAAACCGCACGGCAGGCATAAGATCTGTGCAGCCCACTGAATGTGTGCCCTCCCAGGGGTCAGGTCATGCACATAATCCCATCCTCCCCTGCTAGGGCTTACCTGAATGCCCTCCTCAATGCCTGGACCCTGTGGGGAAAAAAAGAAATTCCATTTTGTTTCATTGCCCAATAGAAAAATTTGATTCCTGGAGACTTCCGGGAGCAGGAGTTTACCATAAAGCAGCTGCTTTAACTCCTGGCCCCAATAAACAAGAACTCAGAATTACAAGTGATTTCTGCTTTGATTCCCTGCTGACACTGGCACATGGGGACAGAAATTGGCTCCCCACATTTAGCATGGATGTTCACCCCACCACATGGCAACGCTTCTGGGTTTGAGCTAGCCATGCCCCTTCTATGTTAAAATTGCATGTTTCTGAAAGCATAATGTGGGGCAAGGTTGGATATAGACACTTTCATGCCCCAAAGCATGCAGAATGGATCAAAACATGCCACTTAAGGCCACAGTAAGACAGAAAGGGACTGCTGCCATATTTCTCAGATTGTCCCACTCTAATTTAGCTTAACTGAAAATCGAGCACTATGAAATGAGAGATTAGCAGACAACCAATGTGATGCAAACTGACTGCGTGCCAAAAAAGTGAGTGAACATTCCAATATAGCTGAACATAAAAAACTCAACACATTTTCTGTGAAAGGGACTTCATGTGAATGATGTCCCTTCCCAGCTCCCTGTTCCCATTTACTCTGCACATACTTCTTGCTGCTGCCTTACACTCGGGTTGTGTAATTCTCCAAGCCTAACTAAGACAGCTTGCTTTGTTATCAAGATGCTGTCCAACATAAAACTGGCCCATTTGCGTTGCAGATAATTAAGGGGAAAAGCAGCTCCCATTTCCTCCTCCGTAGTAAGGGAGCTGGGACCACACCTATCTTTGCATTGCCAAGTTATGCTCTCCTCGTTGGGCAGCTTTCTAGTAAGAGAGAAAGTTCAGGACAGTCAGAGCATTGCACCACACACACAAACACACAGAGAGAAACACAGGCACGGGTAGTGCATGGGATGTAGGAAAGAAAAAACCGTTTGGCAGGCCCTGGGCCTTCTCCTCTCCACAGTCCTTGGCAGCAGCTTCTCTCTGAGGACAGGGAGTTTAAGGAACGTTTGGGATTCATCTTTGTACTATCAGCAGGCAACCGACAGGAAATCGTCCCCCACCCTCCCACCCAACTCATATCTTCAGCCTGAGGAAACGGTTTCAGACATCTGGATTATTTGCACATCTGGAAACTCCCCCTTAAGAGCATGAGCTGCCCTAGGTGCAGACCAAGGATTAGGCCTGCTGGGAGATCCCAGCCGACTCACATGACATGCATTCATGCCTCATTTGAAATTTTCTGGGTGGAGTGAAGTGTAGTTCTCATTTTTGTAAAGAAAATACACACACTTCTATTTCTGTAATGGGAGGAAAGACTCCTCTTTCCAGCTCAGCTGCAATCCCTTCTCTTTCTCAGAATTTCTAGACTTCTGGTTTGAAACTGTTTTAAGTGACTTAAAGCACCTTGTTTCAATTGGTGGAATTGTTTACTTTATTCCTTTTTGTTTAAATGGATTAAACTGATTTTATTTGTACACAACCCTACAACTGTGTACTACAGGGCTGGTTATACATATTTTCCTAAGTTAGCAAGCCAGCCAGCAAGTAAATAGACTGCAAAATAAGGCACATTCTCCTAAGAGGTCTCAATATTCATGCATGAAAAGCAAGAAGGCAGGAGATATATCCCAGACACCAAGAGGAAGCTGAAGGGTCTGTTTGGCTTTCACAGCGAGACAAAGCTCCCTGCAATACCCAGGGCCCACTTTTCTCTCTGCTCCCTTCTGCACTTTCCCATTTGACATTCCCTCAAAGACCAAATTCCCCCTCCACACACACACACACACAAAGATTCAGTATCTGTCCTCTGCTGATAGAAGGTACATCCACCTGAATTTCAGGAACCCAATTTTTCTTCCTGCACCACAGCTTGGCCCATTTAATGGGCACTCTGCTCCTCTGGACTGCATTTTCAAGGTGCTGGAGGAGCGGCCATGAGGAGGAGTAGGTGGACGGGCAATCACTTCCTTGCAGTCTTGTTACAGAGGCCCAAACATGGATCCAACCTTACATTTTCTCCCACCACTGCTCTGAACACTTATGAGAGTGGGCATGCCTGCCTCTGCATTTAGAGACCCCATTCTCATTTCTGTAAACCTGCACAATGTTGTTCCAAAGGCATTTTTTATCGTATGTCTGCACTTCCTCACCATGGGGGGGGGGGGGGGGGGGGGGGCATAATTGTTTGCATACATTTCCCATTCATATTTCAGTTATGAGATACTATTACATCAGAATGTGAACTTCTGAATACTTTCTGGCTGTAATTCTACCGCATGAACTCTGAAATGGCCACTGACCACACACAACCAAATTCTGTTCTGCTACTGTTCAATCCAGAGACAAATTAAACTAGCCTCTTCACTCGTTTACAGATGTGCTTCATGCAGAGAAAGAGAAGCCTCAGTACAGTTAAGTCTGGAACAAAACGCCTGAAAATGTAGCGGAAAGAAAACGCCCAAGATGTGGAACAGGAAGTGTCATTCTGAGGCTGCCAATCCAGAGGGAATTGGCGGGAGGGGGAAGTAAAATTAACAGCAAATGCAGCATCTGTAGGGAGAACCATTCTTAAATGGGGATAAAATGGAAATGAACATGCTGGTTCTAATTAGCATCCACTGATAAAAGGCAAGTTGCCAATACATTCTCATTTGTGACAACAAATCAGTTTAGTTCAAAGTATTTTTTCTAAAAATCATAGCTAAAACACATTTGCTTTAAATGCTTTAAATTGCCAACTATGCAACGTGCAGTTTGACAAGCCCCCATCCTGTCTCCCAAAACGCTTGAGGAACATCAGATTCATTAAGGACGAGTAACCGCAGGAATCATCCACCAAGAATCTGAGTTCATTTGCTTTTAATTCTCACTGCCTCTGGCCTGGTTCCACTGCGGAGGTAAGAGAAACTTTTCAGACATCGATCCGTAGTGTATAATCGGGGGGAGGGGGGCAATTCTCCCTCCAAGATCAGTTGATCTTCCTCTGAGACTTACCTTGGTCATGATATTACACATTTACAATTCATACAGCCTGGGCCACTTTCATCTGGAGGATTCAATTTGCGTAGTTTGTGCTGCCGGATCTCCCGCACTAAAGTATAGAAGGCATCTTCAACTCCCTGCAAGAAAGCAGCAATGTGCCTTGAACATGAGAACACACACCCACATAACCAAGGAAAAAAGAAAACTTGAAAGAGAAATTTTGAAGGAGTTTTGAAGAGCACCTTTCCCTCCATTGATTGCAGCAGCATAGAGACCAAGTAATGTTCCTTCTCAGTGTGAAAAAGGCCTTGGATAGGTGGGCGTTTGAAAAGATCAAAAAGGCACACACCTACACACAGCCTTGTTGCTATGAATTAGTACACACAGTTACCCATTTCTTTGCACAAGTGGTTGCACATATAATTGACTGCTACTATGGCTTTAGTCCTGGCCTGACTGGGCAATGAACTTGATACAAGCATTTGCATTCAGGCAGGCAGTGGATAGTCCAAAAAGCACAATGCAAGTCATAAATGAAAGTCACTTTCACCCCTTCTGACTGAATCCTCACCTTCACTATCATTATAAGGTTAAAGCAAGTTGCTAAGCCAAGCTAACTGAGAGTTTCACCCCCAGCATCACTTTAATGCAAGTGGAGGAGGTGGGTGAGTGGCAGGCAAATCACACTCAGTTCATACCTACCATAATTCACACTTATGTTTGTTGGCACTCAGGGCCAACAGCAAAGACTATACAACCTGCTGCACATTTAGCAGCTGGGAGGCTGGTAGCCTGAGTGAATGCATGAAGAGGGGCTGCTTCAACAAGCTGTGTGTCAATCTCACCACTCAATCAGACAGCCTCTTCACTGCTCTGTACAAAAGGAAATGCTCAACAGCCTTGTTCTTACATCTAGAGAAAAATTGAAGAAAGAGAAAGGAACCTATGCCTTAAAGACTCAAGAAGAAATCAACCAAACCTACAGGAACATCTCTTGGTCCAACATATCTTTGAGACCGCATCTCCTTTTATGAGCTGGCATGGGCATTAAGATCTGCTGGGGAGGCCTTTCTTTCGGTCCCACCATCGTCTCAAACACGGTTGGTGGGAACGAGAGAGGCGGGGGCCTTCTCAGTGGTGGATTCCCGGCTCTGGAATATCCTCCTTAAGGAAATCACATTAGCCCCGTCTCCTCAGGCCTTCTAGGTGAATCTAAAAATATGGCTCTACAGACAGGCCTTTGATCCTGAGTAATCCATGGCCAATGTAATGAATCATTGATGATAGTATTGGCCTGCACTTTGGTTGATTGTTACGACAGATAGCTGGATGGCAGGTTCCACTGTGTTTTAGGAATTTTATAATTTTCAATTTTTTTAATAATTTTATTAAGAATATTATAATAAAGACAAAACTTTAGGATTTGCGGAAAAGGACCCTGTTTGGGATAAAATAATGATGACAGAAAAGATAGTAATTACAAAAATCTACAAGAAATGTATAGAATGGACTACAGGAATAGAACAAGTGAAAGGCTGTATGGTTAAATGGGTGGCTAATATAGGCCATACAATAAAACTGAAAAAATGGGAAAGACGATGGAACTCCAAACTAAAATATACTTATGCTTATGATCTTAAAGATAATCGGTACAAAATGATGTACCAATAGTACATAACTCCCCCCAAACTTGCAAAATGTTATAAAAACTTACAAAATAAATGTTGGAAATGCGAATCCTATGTAGGCACTTTCTACCACATGTGGTGGACTTGTGGAGAAACAAAGAAATATTGGAAGGATATACAAGGAAAAATTCAGAAAATATTGGATATAAAAATACCTATGAAACAATGTTTTTTTTTGCTAGGAATAATTGATATAGAGATGGATAAAAATAAAGACACACTTTTTAACTACTTAATAACAGCTGTCAGAATAGCCTATGCAAAGAATTGGAGAATCAAAGACACACCTTCAACAGACTGGCTGATAAAAATAATGGCAATTATGAACATGGACAAAATAACTCAATTATTAGTGAAAGGTCAAGAAAAATTCAAGAGTTTTACGGATTGGCGACCTTTCAAAGAATGTCTGAAACAGGTAAAGGTGAGAATGTTAATATAATGTAAGGAAATGTGAATCAGAAGAAGAAAAAAGTCTCATAAGAAAACACAACGAAAGGGGAAGCACTAATCCAAAGAACGAACTAAGGATTATTATACCATGATGAAGAAGATTGGAAGTTGACAAACTTTTCCCCTTAATCCCTTCTATTTCTTTCCCCCCTCCTTTCCTTCTTTTCCCCCATCATTTTATAATACTGTAAATTTGATTGAATAAAAACTTTTTTGGGGAAAAACAGACTCATTCTTATACAAACACGGGAAAGTAAGCAAGCTGCTGGGGGCCAGGACGGAAACAAGAAATTGCCATCTTAATGTCACAAGAATTACGAGACAGTCTCGTACCAAACAGTCTCCAGTATCCCTTTCTTGCGCAAGGTGCATATGGTGACTTCTGAGCTCCAGGAATTATTGGATGAAACAGATTATTTAGATCCCATTTCAATCTGGTTGCTAGCCTAGTTTTGGAATGGAAATGGCTTTGGCTGCCTTTATACAAACAAGACAGGGAGAGTGTTAATTCTACTGGATCTTTCAGTGGCTTCTGATACCATCAACCATGGTACCCTTCTGGGATAAGACTTAGGTGTACTGTTGTAAAGTGGTTTCAATCCTCCTTGGATGGGAGAACTCAGAAAGTGACACTGGGAAATTCCTGTTAAGCCCCTCTGGCCATTAGCTTGTGGCATGGTTTTGTCCCCAGTATTGTTTGATATCTACATGAAACTTCTGTCAAGAGGTTATCTAGTGTTCTGGGATTCGAGCCTCATCAGTATGATCATGACAAGCAACTCTATTTCTTCAAGGATGCTGTTTTACAAATAAATCTGGGTCTGCTGTCATTAATGGACTGGATGTGGGCAAACAAACTGAAATGAAATCTAGATAAGATTGAAGTGCTCTTAGTTAGTAAAAAGGCAGGTAGATGGAATGACACTCTCTCAGAAATCTCAGGTTCACAGCTTGGACATACTCCTGGGACTTGGATCTGAGCCTGAATACTGAGGTTTCAGCAGTTACCAGGAGTATGTTTCTACAGCTAAAACTAGTGTGTTAATTGTGTTCATTCTTCGAGATGACAGTTCTGGCTGCAGTGAAGTAGGTCTTGGTTACTTCTCATTTGAACGGATGTAACATGCTCTACATGGGGTTGCCTTTGGAATCTGCTCAGAAACTGGAGTGGGTCCAAAATTCTGCAGCCAGATTTCTGCTAAGGGTATATTACAAAGGATCACATAATTCCACTGTTACAAAAACTTTACTGTCTACCATTCTGTTTCTGCACATAATGCAGAGTGATGGTTATGATCTACACAGCTCACATGGAGACTATATGAAAAACTGTATTGCTTATTAGTATACCAGATGTTTAAGATCGCCAGGAGGAAGCTTCCTTTATATCCTGCAACCACCAAAGATCAGTGAAAACAGCAATGACAACCTTCTCAGTGGCTTCTCCTAAGATGTGTAAATTCCTCCCACAGGAGGCTCAACTGGCTCCGTGTCTGCTCATTTCTACTAGTAGCAAAGACCACCTTGTTTAGGCAGACCTTTGACTCTGAATGTATTGTGGCTGAAGGATCTCTTAATAGTCTTTAATGTTTATATCTTTTTGTTATATTTGTTTTAAACTGAGACCATTTAGTACTTTAACAAATTTGTTTACTTATCAAATAAGTTTTAACTGTACTGTGTTTTGAATTTGATGCGAGTTGTTTTGGATCCTGTGCTGGGAGAAAAGTGAGATATAAATCAAATAAATAAACAAGAGCAGGACCCTTTCAGCACACCAAGGAAAGAGGTCATCAGTAAGGGAGGGTATTAAACACGCAGCCTAAGCTTTCAAAGTTATGTATCCTGTAAACTGGGACTCAGCCCAAGGAGTCTCAAGAGTCTAATGCATGGTTATCTGCCACCTGCTGGAGAAAAATATGTGGGGTAGTAAAGTTCCCTATCTGGTTCTCCTTCCATGAAGTTTTAGAAATCCTTTGCACAATCTAGCTTGATTATCTGCAGAAACAGCTTTTTTTCTAAAAGGAATCAATGAGTTGGAAGAGACCACAAGTGCCATTCAATCCATGTTCTTGTCATGCAACTTGAGGATGATAAACTACAACTGGGTTTTTGGGAGTACAAATTGGACTCTTTTCTCAATCCTGGCATTGGAGAAAAGTATTTCAGAAGAGACTCTCATTCACACCCATCTTCAAAATACCTGTCTGGTTTTGGCTGATGTCTCAATGTAGGGAATCCCATAGCTCCGAGCCAGTTCCTGGGCTTGTCGCGTTTCCACGGTCCGGGCTGGAAGGTCACATTTATTTCCTACCAGCACCATGGGGACATCATCAGAATCTTTCACCCTCTTGATTTGCTCCCTGTAGAAAAATAAATACCCAAAGTGGAGTAAATTAGTGAAAGCACACTTTGTTTTAAAGAACTTGAAAACAACATGTTAAGAACACTGCATTCAAATCTGTTTTTTTTAATAATGAGGAAAATTACGTCAACAATTTACTTTGAACCTACCAAACCTCATTCTTGTTAGTTTTTTGGCATAATGCACAGGCTATTTTAAGTAATTTCTTTAGAGATTGGAAATAAGAAGCTATTTGAAACTTGGGAAGGCTTTGCATGGAACAGGAGCTCTAATTTGCACACTGCCCACGGCTACTTTAAAGAATAATGAGTATTACAGCAATCAATGGGAATCAAAACCCATACTAGCCTATGTTAAAAATAGCATTTTTCTAATTCAACAATGAATGAAATTATATAAGCTACAGTTTAAGTCAGCAAATTGATTGTGAAGGCTTTCATTTTGTGGCCAATATTATATTTTGGGTTATTTCTACCCTCCCAGTTTCCGTAGAGCCCTTCTCACATCTACTACAAAATTCTCTCCTGGCTTGTGTTCATTGAGGATCTGAAGGGTTTCTCTTTTTCTTGATCCTCAGACACTCTGTTAGGACACAATTTGAGCGATCCTGGTGTATCCTACTGAACAGGGCCTCACTGTGCTAAGCAGGAAGGCCTCAGTGGAGAGCGTGAGCAGAAACCCTTTGTCAACAACAAACTACAACCAGGCTCTGTGCCATAACCCCAAGTCACTGGGCAGCTCTCCAGCAGCAGGAGGTTTCCTCACGTCCCCAGGGAAAGAGCCAGGCCGCGGTTATGCAGTCGACTGCCCATCTCCCATCTTGGAAAGGAGACGCAAACACTGAGGACACTGACCCAGGGGATGTACCATGGCTTATTTGCTGTCAACCTCAGGGATCCCAAAGAGTTTAGATTAGAGCTCTTTTCCAAGGAATGTGTGTACCAGGCAAGTACTGATACATAACATCTTGTCCATTTTTAGTAACTAACTAGCCATCCTCTGCCATGTGCTGCTGTGGCCCAGTCTGTGTATATGTGTTTTGTGTGTGTATATGTGTGTGTATATATTTGTGTATATGTGTATATATGTGTTTGCGTGTATATATGTGGTTTTGAGTATGCCTTGTAATGTAATTTTTGTTTTTGGGGTTTTTAAGTCTCTTCTGCTGTGTTTTTCAGTGTTTTTATGAGTGATGGTCACTTGTTGGCCTTATAGGTGTGTTGTGTCCAAATTCATCCAGTGGTTTTTGAGTTATGTTAATCCCACAAACGAAAATTAGATTTTTATTTATATAGATATCTGAAATACACAAATAATCCCCGAGATACTGCATTGTAGTGTATAATTGCATTGACTGAGCTCCATCATCTTGGTTATGTCTCACAATGCCAATTCTCCCTTCTCTCCAAATCCTGCTTTTTCAGCCTGGCTGTGCCACAACTGAAGGGTTTCCAAGGTGCTGCAGATCAGGAAACTGGGATGTGTGCAGCACTGCCCTGGTAAACACACATGCAAAACACAATCCTGCTGCAAATGCTAGTCTAATCGCACCCTACAACTAGGAGAGTACTTCAGATGTCATTTCCCAGCACCCCAATCTGCAGCACTTCACAAATCCCTACATTTAAAAAAGTAGAAGTCAGAAAAAAATCCTCCAGTCAATGACTGGTTGCTAAAATTGATTCAATTGACAGAGATGGATACATTCTCGTGTATATTGAAAGACCAATCTATACAGATCTTCCAGAACAAATGGACGCCATTGTTACTGTATTTGAAAAATAAATAAAAAGGAGTGAGTCTTAACAGATTTTTACAATTAGAATAGCTCCCCTTTTATATTTCTGCTTGATTTTGAAAAGTTAACAATATAAATGGAAAATGTCAGATAAAACAAAGTATGTAGTTAAAGATGGTTTCTAATCTTTATTTAGTTATTCTGGAGTGACAGGATAACTAAATAAAGGACAAGCTGCAGTCACAAGAACTGTAAATTTATGCTTTATATATGCTTATCTCATTGTTAAGAATATATATTCAAGAAGATTACTTTATTCAAGAAGATGACTATGTGATGCTTTTTGATGTGTATATGCACCAGATGAAATTGATTGTAAATAATATGATTAAAAGTTTGAATAATCCATCCATCCATCCATCAATCCCTGCCAGGTTGAAAGGGTAAGTTTTTTGGTGGCCAGTGAGGGCGGGGCACCACTTTCAGCTATCGAAAAATATGAATGTCCTGCAATTACAAGACTGTAACTTTATCTGATGATCTCATGATTACTGAAAGGATGTCAGCCAGTATTCATCTCATTTTAAAAGAATTTTAAAGAAAGAACCCCCAGGTTGTTTTCTAATGTCAAAAGAAGGCAGAAGTGCACTCACAATCAAGTCTGATCTAAAACAATGGTCCCAGCTAGAACTTCCTTTGCTGGGAATAATATCTACAATTAAAATGAATGCTCTCCCTAAAATGATGTTTCTTTTCCACACATTACCAATACTATTAAATGATACCTGCCTCAAACAAAGCAACCCTATGAAAGGCACAAAGCCAAGAATCAAGATGAAATCATTGCAAGATGCCAAAGACAGAGGGGGTCTGGCTCTACCAAATGTTAAGCTATACTACAAAACTGCAGCTCTAGTTTAAATGAAAGAATAGATAACTCTAGAGAATAAAAGATCACTGACATAAGAAGGTCATTATTTAAGATATGGATGGTATGGATACTTAATATATGAAAAAAAAAAACCACCAATGGACTCTAATTTTAAGGGCCACCCGCCAAGAAATACACTATACTGAGCATGGGAAATGTACAAATCAAGACTCTACTTAAAAATAACTTTGTGGACATCTATCAACAAGCATTCGATTGGACAGAGATGGGATGACCAATGGCCCACCTTTAACATATATTAATTGGGCAACAAAATAAGGTCATCTAAAAAATCCAAACCAACTATAACAAGAGGGCATGCAATTTTCATGGTTCCAATATAGACAACTACAAGAAAGATACCAAATGGATAAGAAAATAGGCATCGACTGGAAAGTAATGAAATAGACAATATTTTTCCAGTCCAAGGAAAAAAAAATCAAATTCTATAAATTATTATTAAAAATAGATCCAAGTACATCTAGTCAAAGATTGTATGATACAATGGTCAAAGAATGTATCCATAATATCTACCGAGACAAACGGGAAGAGATGGGGGGAAACAAATATTAAATTTACAAGATGTTATGGATTAAGAGAAAATTTCTACAAAATGATGTTCAGATGGTACATGACACTGGTAAGATTAGCATAGATGGAACCAAAATTTTAAAAATGCTTGTTGAAAATGTCATCAAAAAGAAGGAACTTTTTGCCATATGTGGTGGACTTGTGCTAAAGCAAAAAAAAAGGGGGGGGGTTATAATATATAAGAATATAACAACAACAACAACAACAACAACAACAACAACAACAACAACTTTATTTCTAAACCACCCTCTCTTCCTGGAAGGACTCGGGGTGATTTACACATAAAAAGGCAAACATTCAATGCTTCAAGATAGTTACAGACACATCAAAATAATACAGCATAATGGAGAGTAACAACAGAAAACTTACAGCAAAGGAATTAAGTATCAAAATAAAATAAAAACAAGAACAATCCATTAAGACATAAAAACTAAAATATAAATAAACATTACAATGTATACCCTAAAAACAAATTATGAGAAGATTGAAAACAACGTTAAAAATAAAGTACCATTAGAGCCAGAAGCCTTTCTGTTGGGACTTACAAATTCAACACTACCAAAAAATTCCTGATGCTCTTTTTATACATGGTAATTGCAGCAAGGGTTGTTTATGCTTACTATAGGAAACGAGAAAAAAAAATTCCCACCCAAGATTTATGGATTACAAAAATGTTGGACATGTCCAAGATGGACAAACTGATGAGGCTTATACAATTGCCAAATCCTCCCATCTTGAATAAAAATGGCAGCGCATTATCCAAGGGATCCTGGAAAGTTAATCTACCAGAAGTTTTATGACAAAAAGAATATATTTTTTGATTATGAAGAACACAACAGAGACAGGGTAGGAAGCGTTAGTGAGTGCTTTCTATTTTTTTTATTTCTCAATTGTTCTGTCTCCTTTGTTTCAAAATAATGTGCATCCTCTTTTCTAGCCTTCTCTTTTAGATTAGAAATGTTTTCTTTCTTTCCTTTCCCTTTTAACATCACATAAACTGGGTTGCTGTGAATTTTCCAGGCTGTATGGCTATTCCAGAAGCATTCTCTCCTGACGTTTCGCCTGCATCTTCTGGAACATGGCTATACAGCCCGGAAAACTCACAGCAACCCAGTGATTCCAGCCATGAAAGCCTTCAACAACATCATAGAAACCGTTTTTTGTATTAGATAACAATGGAAGGAGATGAAGATGTAAGATGTTAAAAATGCCCCTGTTCTATATTTTATTTATTTATTTATTTATTTATTATTTAAACTTATATGCCGCCACTCCCCTGGGGCTCGGAGCGGCTTACAAGAATAGCTAAAATCTAACGAAGTTTAAAAGCAATTTAAAACAATTTAAAAACAACAGTATCAAACATTAAAAGCCTGTCGGAACAGGTATGTCTTACATGCCCTGCGGAAAGCTGGTAAGTCCCGCAGGGCACGAACCTCAGGTGGCAGAGCATTCCAGACTGATGGCGCCACTGCTGTGAAGGCTCTGCGTCTGGTTGCCGCTCTTGTATCCTTCCCCATTCCTCATATATATGCAATGAAAAGTAGATGGGAAGAAAAGACTGACTCCAATGCCTCTTAATATAAATATTTTGTTTGTTGTATCATTTCCTCCATCCCATTTTGGAATAGTACAACCCAACTGCTCAGAAAGGGCTCCTAGATGAGGCAAACTAAGCCAACACATCTAACTATGCTATATTCTGGAGCCTGAATTCAGAGGTTGATCTTGGGGCAACAAGAAAAGCCATTTGGCAGCCTCCCTCCAGTACCATATCCATACAGAATGTAATGCAACATTTCCCCAAGCCATTATGCTTCAGATACATTGACCTACAATGCCCACCAGCTATCAAAATGATGGCGTTCTGCTCAAACACATTTGGAAAATGCCAAGTTAGAGAAAAGGAAAAATGTAATTATTCCACACAGAGAGCTCTACGTAGGGTCCTGAATGTGCACAACTCCAATGGAATATTATTATTTTGAGAGTGAGGAAAAACTTCCCCTGTGCACATCATGCATAATTTTGCACACTGCTATCACATCTCTTTTTACTTGCCCTTTTTGTCCTAAACAATGTAACATTTCCTCAAAGGACATTTTCTCTTTTCCTGTAATAATTTTGTTTGCTCTTTTCTGCACTTTCCCAACCAAAACCCTTTCTGGAGTGTAATAATCAAAACACTGCACAGCAGGAGGGTTTGGACAGTTTTATTTTTATTTTCCTGTTCCATTTTTACCCAACATGGAATTTGTCCCCCTTCCCACCCATAACTAATAGCCAACATTTAGCACCTTGTCTTCTTTCTCTTGGCATATCATCCACTCACTGATGAAGATTAGAGAGTATCCCTGCCCCCAGAACCATTATCTCTATCTGTTAATTTGGCTGACCTGTACTGATGAATGTCTTCAAAGGACTTGGTGTTGTTAATGGCAAAGACACAAAGAAAACCTTCTCCAGTCCGCATGTATTGGTCTCGCATAGCACTGTACTCCTCTTGGCCTGCTGTGTCAAGGATGTCTAGCAAACAGGTTTCTCCATCGATGACCACTTGCTTTCTGTAGGAGTCCTGCAAGACCAGGAAAGAATTAAGAAGCATTGGATGGGGAGCAAATAACAACATGTAGCTTACTTGTTCGTATTCTGTATACTTGAACTGCAGCAGACTCCACCTTTTTACTTACCCTTCTCTTTCACCTTCCTTTCTCCTTTCTAAATCTTTTAGATCTCTATTCAAGTAATTAGTTTTCTCTAACATCAACCCCCACCTCCTGTGCCCCACTTATGATTTTACCTGTCCACTCAACAAATGGTTAGTTCATAATTTCAATGATCAAGCCTAAAGTCCCAGACCATTCATCACAACTTACTTATAATCCTTGCTCCCTTTTTCTCTTCTGTTCCCTTCCATATTGCTGTGTCCAGACATAGAAAACGTTCTTCCCCAGAGCTTCTGTTTTTCTTAAATTGCTTCAATCTTTTCCTTCAAGTCCCTCCACAAGACTCATTTCTTGATCAAATTCTCACCCAACTTCCCATATGTGTTTTCTTGGGTTCCACATTCATTCCTATGCCATTCATTCTATCTAATAATCATAGTAAGCTTCTTATGTTACCGCAAGGCCTAGCACATTTTTGAAGGGTTAGAACAGTGGTTCTCAAAGTGTGCTCCGCAGAGCTCTTAGGGCTCCATGAAGCACAATCAGGAGCTCCATGCTTCTCTCCTCCTCTCCCTTCAAGCACACGGTGGTGGAGAAGGAGACACTGATGCCTTGATTGTGCTTTTCCTGCATGGCAGAAGGGGGTTGGACTGGATGACCCCTGGAGTCTTCCACTGAAATACTGTTAAGTTTATGTTGGTTTAAATTGTGCTTCACTTTAAATATTGCATTGTTCTTTCTTTTTTGTACTACAATTGAGATAAGCACGGCTGGCGGGGACGAGAGATAGGGCCTTCTCGGTGGTGGCTCCTCGGCTGTGGAACACCCTTCCTACGGACATTAGACTAGCACCATCTCTAATGGTATTCCGCAGAAAAGTGAAGACCTGGCTGTTTGAGCAGGCGTTCGAATAATTAGTGCAATGATTGGTTAATGAACATTGGAACGGAATAATGGATGACGAATCTGGATCATGTTTTTGATGATGAGACGATAGTGAATGGTTATTGTAGTAATTGTTTATTAATTATGTAATATGTTAGGTTGTTAACTGTTTTACACTGTAGCATTGAATTTTTGCTGTTCTTATTTGTTGTGAACCACTGTGAGTCGCCTTCGGGCTGAGAACAGCGGTATATAAGTAAAGTAAAGTAAAGTAAAGTAAATAAATAAATAAATAAATACATAAGAATTTGTCCATGTTTTTTCACACAAACAATCTCCATCCACCTACCACTCGCCCAACCCAGCTGTCAAATTTTAAAATGCAATGTGGCTCCTGTGTCCAAAAGTTTGTCCATGCCTCGTATATATACATTATATATAATCTCTCTCTCTCTCTCTCTCTCTCTCTCTCTCTCTCTCTCTGTATATATAGTAGAGTCTTGCTTAACCAACCTTCGCTCATTCAATATTCTGTACAGTATTATAAATCATTATATTGTGATGTTTTGATGCTAAATTTGTAAATACAGTAATTACTACATAACGTTACCATGTATTGAGCTGCTTTTTCTGTCTATTTGTTGTAAAACATAATGTTTTGGTGCTTAATTTGTAAATCATAGCAGAATTTGATGTTTCATAGGCTTGTCCTTATTATCCAACATTTTTGCTTATCCAACATTCTGCCGGCCGGTTTATGTACTGTCTCATTATGTACTGTCTAATTATGATTTATGCTTAATTGTGGTTTTATTATTGTAATTGTTACAGATTGGCATCACGTCAGTGTCCAATGTAAGGCATTGAATTTTGCCAGCTATGTGTAAACCACTTTGAGTCTCCCTAGGGTGAAAAAAGCGGTATATAAATACTGTAAACAAACAAACAAACAAACAAATATGTTGGATAAGCGAGACTCTATAAATAAATAAATAAATAAATAAGTATGTTGGGTAAGCAAGACTCTACACACACTTCTTGGGTCTCCATGAGAAACATTTCTTTTTAAAAGGGTTCCACGGCTGAAAAAGTTCGAGAACCTCTGATCTAGAGAAATATGAACTTATGAAAGATTTGCTTTGTTACTTAAAAATCGAAATCCTGAGCTGGGGAGAATGATGGCACTGGAATGCACTATGAAAGGCAAGTTATTCCACTATTCTGTCAAAATGAGTAGCGGCAACCATACAAATAATTATTTGAGGAGCAGTGGAAAACTGAGATACAGCGAGGAAACACAAACTGGTGCCATCGAATTCTCTTGTTGTAGATCCATCTTGCGAATCTAGAAACCCAGCCCAGTGTTTTAAAAAGTTACTTTTCTGGACTACACCTCTCAGAATCCCCCAGTCAACATGCTCATACTAGCGGAGTGATTTGGGAAGTTGCGGTTCCAAAAAATAACTTTTGCTAACTGTACATTAAGCAATATGTTAACTAGAGAGTGCATCTGTGTTGACTTTGTATTTAAAAGTTGTGTGTTTCCTTCCTGATTTTAACAGATGTGTTGAAGACACCATCTTGACTTGCATAGATTTTGAACATGTTTTGTTACTGGCCCACCCAGTCTTCTAAAATGGAAGCCGGGAAGAAAGGGAGTTGAGGAGAATAAACACCAGAACAGGTTGTGCTGCTGGTGCCAGAAGAGAAACTGGGACAGCCGAAGTCCTGTTCTTGGAACTGACAGTGTTGTCTCCTAACAGACAAGGTATGCCTTTGACCAGAGCCACCCAACCTTCACACACCTATTTTCTTAACTTTATTTAGTGTACAGCAATCCTTTTAAAAGCAGCTTTGCTCACAGGGTCACAGTCATCTTCTGTGGCCACACTGCATCCAGGCCAGTGAGTAAACAGAACACAGGCAAGCACTGGGTGGAGTCCGTGCGCAGGAACAGCCCCTCCTGTATGTCTGCCCAGTCATACTGCACATTAGGTTCTTCATGTTAAACCCATGAGCACCCAAATAGGTCTTGTGTTTAGTTCAGCTTAGCCATATATACACTAGTGCCAAGAGCTTCCTTCTATTGAAAAACATCAAGGTTCTGTGTTACCTTGAGTTCCAAAGCGTTATCCTTAAAACTCCCTACAGTCTCTTAGTTTAATGCCTCCAAATTTATTCTGGACAGATTTTAAAGTGAAATACAGTGTTTTTTCCTCCTTCCCCAGATATTCCTATAAGATAGGCATGGGATAGAAATCAAGCTTATCCTCTTCTGAAATTTAGAAAATGAATGGACCATTTAGCATTGCTAATTTTCTGATGATTTTAAATACTTTAAATAGTGATTTTAATGATATGCCTCTCAAATTATTTTGTGAGACTTATTACTTATTTATGTTTGTCTGTCCAAATCTGTACTAGATTTTTGTCCTCTTCATCTGAGCAAGACTTCCACTTTCTGTAGGAGGTCTTATTGCTTCTGCTTATCAATTATGTTGGCAACTTCTTCAAATTGGTAGTAGTACCTTTCTTAATTTGAAGCATACACTCAAGTTGATGTTCTATTTCTGTGTCTCTGAGTAATAATCTAGCTTTCTGAAGAGAACTGCCCTACTGACCGTCCTCATTTCAGTTTTCTTTTTGCCAGTCCCTTCATTTTTCAGACCTTTCTTCTTCTGAAGTGAGACAGTATTGGGCTTCTTTGGCAATTGCCAACTACATGTACACTGCACAGAGACGGCCCTCTAAATTCATCGTGGTTAGGGGCACAGGGATCCCACAAAAGTAGGAAGATTGTGAATACCTTGAGGGGAGAGGTAAGGCTTTCTTGCAGAGCTGGTGAAGAGGGCTCCCCAATGGGATTGGCCTTTAGGAGAGCAAAGCATCAGCAGTGCCCCTGCCAACCTGTTCCTGAAATTCATACACTAGCAGGCTTGACTTTGAAGGAGCTGGGGGTGGCCACGGCCGATAGGGAGCTCTGGCGTGGGCTGATCCATGAGGTCATGAAGAGATGGAAGAGACTGAATGAATAAACAACAACAAAGCAGGATTCCAGAGATGGTTGGTGAGAGATTTGTGTTGCCCTGTGCCTGAAGCTGTGCGGAGAGTGAAGCTGCAGTAATGGTCTGCCAACTGACTCCTTAAACCGTTGTAGTATTCAGCCTCCAGAAGTGATTGACAAATGAGATTGCTGTTGCTCTATCTCCTCTAATGCCCCAGGGATGGCAGCGGAGCCACGATGGCCCACAAACTGCCTCCCAAGGCCCATATAGTGACCAGCTTCCAGAGGTGGCTGAGAACAAAGACAGGTGCTCCACCAAACTTAACCCAAGGCTGCTGCAGCCCTGGGCCTAGGGAAGTGGTTGGTGACAGCCAAGACAATCACTGACATTTCCTCCTTGAATGTTCACACAAAAATATGAAAAAGCCAAACTCATGAATGTGGTGGGTGAACTGTAATTTTTCATACTAAGCCACTTGCCTACCCATTAGGGTTTCTATGGCTTTTGCTGTGTGCCATGAAAAGGACTTAGATGGCATTTGCAGAAGCATCTCCAAGGGATCAGGAGTCCCCATTGACCATTACTCTCCCACCTTGCCAACTGGAAAAGTGCCAATGCCCATAGAAACCCCACTATTACCTCTCATTCAGCCCTGAACTGGTCCAGTTCTTCTCTGTACAGAGAGAGGGGCATAGAGATTGCGAAAATGGGCTCCAGGGCAGGAAAATGAAGGCATAGCGTGTAGAGAGTTTACTAGAGCACTGTAACCCAGTTCATCAATCTGTCCTCTTGTATAGATCGACAAACCAACAAGATTTTAAAACCAGTGTGGCTCCCAATATCTCTCATTACAACCATCATAGCAACTAAGTCCTCAAGGGGAACCGAGAGGACTGAACAATAACCAAGAGACTGAGAAGACTGATTGCTTGACAAGATGCCAACTACTTTCAAGATGCCTGGCATTTCAGGCTTTCATGAGAGAAAGGCATTTATATACCCCTATCAATAATGCATCA